AAGGACTACTAAAGATAAGGATAACTATAGTTTATACTATTACTATCCTATATTTACTTTTAAAGTACTAGATATACTTAAAAACATATTTAAACTATCTATTTCTTACTATAAAAAGAAGTTATAGCTATATCTCTAAAAAGACTACTATTAGAACTTTTCTATACTTTACTTAAAGAAGATATTACTTATAATATTAAAGAGAATAGTAACTTTTCTAGTCCTATTATTACTTTCTTTATATTAAGAAGTATAGACTCTAGAAGTATACTATTTAGAAAAGAAGATTATATACAAAATATCTTATCTAAGCTTATCTATAATACTAGACTCTACTTTCTAGGATATAAGGATTTAATATATAAGGAAAAGATAATAGATAACTTTTATTTAAGCTTTACTAAAGACTATAAAGAGTTACTAGTAGTAGAGTCTAATACCTACTTTAGTACCTTATATATTCTTAGAAACTCTATTAGAAAGTTTAACTATAAGAGAATTAGTAGCTATAAGCCTATTACTAGGATAGATAATAGTAATCTTATAGTAGATACTATTTCTATAAATATAAATACTATTAAAGACTTATTTAGTAATTTACTACTTAAAGTAGAAGATTTACTATATAATAAGCTTTTAGTATTTAGTAATATCTCTAGAGAGGATAAGATCTTAGATCTAAATATCTATAGAATAGAAGATTCTAAAGAAAATAGTATACCTTTAGAAAATATTACTACTATAGATCCTTATCTTAAGGATCTAACTAGTAAGAACCTACTTATTAAGAGACTATATAACTCTAATAGTAGTCTTTATAAAAAGCTAAGAAAAGATAAGGATAGCTTTAATACTAAAGAAGTAAAAGCCTACCTTATAACTAAAGATATATTTATAAAGAATCTACTACTAGCCTTTTATCTATTAAGTAGTAGCCCTTTAAGAGGAGAAGAGCTTACTATACTAAGATATAGTAATACTAAAGAAGGAGGCCTAAGAAATCTATACTTAGATAAGGGTCTTAATCTTTTAAGTATTAATACCTCTTATTCTAAAACTAGTAATACTAGTACTCTAAACTCTAGTAATATTAGATTCTTACCTATTAGACTTACTAGAGTAGTACTATACTACCTAGTATACTACCTACCTTTATATAACTATCTTAATCTAAAGGTACTAGATAATAAGGATATTATTAGTCCTTTTCTATTTACTCTTAAAAATAAAAGGATTACTAGTAATATGCTTAGTAATCTACTTTATAAAGAGACTCTTTTATACTTTTCTAAAGGATTAGGTCTAAAGCTCTATAGACATCTAATTATTTTTATTATAAAAGAATATATTATTAAGGATAAGACTTACTTACTAAGTCCTAATAAAAGAATACTATCTAGAGATACTTTTTCTAGAACTAGTAATATAGAAGACATCTTAGCTAATCATTCTACTAATATAGTAGAGGCTAATTATGCTAGAGAGTCTAACTTATTTTCTAATAAGACTAAGTCTATCTATACTAGATCTAGAGACTTTACTAGTCTACACTTTACTTACTTTAATCTTACTAAAGATAAGAATATAAGTAGTATACTAGGAGAGCTAGAATCTAGTAATAAAGATATAAACTTAGATCTAAGCCTAAGATCTAATATTTCTAGATCTAATTCTAGTATAAGTACTAGTAGTCTAGCTATCTCTAGAGCTAGCTCTAGTAAAGTTATTTCTACTATATATAAAAGTTCTATAGTACCTTCTAGTCCTAATCTAGGTACTAGTTCTAGTAGAAATCTTAATTTATTAGATAAAGAGCCTTCTATTATTTCTAGTACTAGTAGTTCTAGTTCTTATAATTCTAGTAAAAGAGATTCTTATACTAGACCTTTAAGCCCTAGTCTAGCTAGTACTAAAGCTATTTCCTTTTCTAAGGATCTAGAAAGTCCTACTACTAGACTTAGTAAAGCTAATCTAGAAAGACTAGAAAGAGAAACTAGTACTAGTTCTAATCTAGACTTAAGGCCTTATATTAATACTTTACCTAAGAGTAGTACTAAAGATCTAGAAAAGACTAGCTCTAATAGCTTAGAATCTACTAGTAGTCTAAACTCCTACCCTTTAGAAGATACTAGTAATATAGAAATACCTAGCTTAAAAGATAACTTTACTAGTATCTATAAGGCTAATCCTTCTAATCTTAAGAATATAACTATTAGTAGTAACTCTAGCTCTAGTACTAATATATCTAGTCCTAAAATTAAAAAAGAAAGCCTTAGAAAAAGAGCTAGAGGTAGACCTAAAAGGTTAAAACTAAAGGAAGACCTAAAAAGAGTATACTTATAAAGATTAGAAGTTAAATAGATAGCTTTCTTATATTATATCTATCCTTATCTTTTTAGTACTAGTATATTAACTATAAGGTTTTTATAGCTTTATAGAGATAGTATAGTACTAGAACTAGTTTAGCTAAGTCTAAATAAGTATAATACTAAACTTCTATATTACTTTATCTTTACTAGTAGATATATTCTTATTTTTTTCTAGCTATATTAATTTTATACTAGCTTTCTAGTAGGTATATAAAGTTCTCTATAGCTAATAGGTAGTTATTAAAGGTTTATAATAGTTTAGATAAGTCTACTTTTAAAGTTAGTCTTAGTACTAGCTTAGTAAATATTATACTCTTATTTTTTCTAGCTATCTAGATTTCTTATAGACTATCTAAAGCTAGGAGTTAAATCTATAAAGCTACTAGATAACTAGAAAAGGTCTAGTATACTTTAGATAAGCCTAAATCTCTAGTTACTTAAGATCTAGCTTTTACTAGTAATAGTATATCTATTTTTATCTAGCTATCTAGATTTTATACTATCTATATAAGATATGCCTAAGATTAAATATAAGTAGAAAAACACTAGATAAGGTCTAGACTAGTCTATTTAAGTCTTATACTAAGATAACTAAAAGTTTAAAAGTTACTACTATGTATATCCTTATTTATATTTAGCTATTCTTATTTTATAGTATCTATCTAAAGTATAATAAGACTTAGTAAAGCCTTTCTAGTACTAAGAAAGATTTAGACTAGTCTAGAAAAGTATAGATATATAGTTAGTCCTAGTTTTAGCTTTACTAGTAAAAGTAACCTTATTTATTTCTAGCTATCTAGATTTTATACTAACTATCTAAACTAGAGATAAGTATCTATATAGCTCTAAAATAACTAGAAAAGGTCTAGACTAGTCTAGATAAGTCTAGATCTAAAGTTACTTAAGACTTTACTTTTAGTAGTAAAGATATTTCTATTTCTTTTTAGCTATCTAGAACTCTTACTAGCTCTATAGGTTATAATCTAGGTTTCTTTTAACTTACTAGATACTAGAAAAGGTCTAGCTAAGTATTAGCTAGAGTTTTAAGCTTAGACTTCTAAGTAATACTAAGAATATAAACTTAATGAAATTTTTTCTTTCTATCTAGATTTTTTTCTAAAATCTAAGTAAGTAGGGTAGTAGGAAACTAAGCTAAGAATACTATAAAAGGTCTAGATCTAAGTAAAAAGTCTAGATCTAGAGATAAACTAAAGAAGTATATAATACTAAGCTTATTTTAGCTTTTTAATACTTTTATAGTAATCTTATACTACTAGAGTGTCTATACTAGGTAAGAACTAAGTACTAGAGACTTTAACTAGCTAAAAAAATAAAAAATAGAATTTTAGACCTTAGACTTAAACTTCCATTTAGTCGTTAATTAGGGCTCTAGTTTAGTACTTTATATATTTCTAGTTTATTTATTAGTTAAAACGGCTATTTAAGGTTTTACTATCTTTTAGATTTGTATAGTAATATAGTATAAATTAAGAAGATTAAGAGATATAGCTATATATGCTATAAATATTAAGAAATAATATAAATAAGCTACTTTAGCTACCTTAGTTATAGTAGTAGTAAGGAGGAGCTAATCTATATATGTTTTTTTCTTATAGTAAAGGCTAATAAAGTATTAGGTAAGACTAAAGATATGCTAGTAGCGCCTATTAGCTATATAGCATAACTATATTACTTAATAAGCTTTATATTACCTATAGAATCCGCTATAATAATAGACTAAATAGTAATAGAGGTAACTAAGGTTACTTTAGCCTAGAGAGCCTAGGTATTATAGGTTACTATAATGGCTAATTATCTTAAGGCTAGTTATTAGGAATTTAACCTTATAGGTAATACACTTCTATTCTTAAGCTATTTTAATATAAGAAAGTAGCTAGAGTAGCTAGCGGTAGACGGGTAGGTAGGCTTTAACATTTTTAAGAACTTAAAGCGGTAGGTTAGATAGTATATTAATAGCTTCTAGAAAAAGTAGGCTACTATAACTAAGTTTTTATTATATAGACTTAATAAACCATTTATAAACATCGGTTCTTAGACACACAAAAAAGCACTTATATACATATTACCTAATACTCTTATTACTCTAGAGTGCTTAGTAATTCTTAATAGCCGTTATACCTAATAGCTTATTACTATAGTCGGATAGATTAGCTCTTAGCCTTCTACCTACTTAATTAAAACTCTATAAACCTACATTTTGTATTATGTATTAGGGACCTGCCCCTTTAGAAAGATGGTTAAAGGTAGCACTTCTCTAGGTTTCTAATAAGTGCGCCGCTAAGGCTTACATCCTTTACTAACGTTTTACTAGCGTAAGACTACGACCTTTCTTTATGGCTTCTAGATCGTAAACGTCGTTACTAATTTATATGAGATAGCATTTTAATGGGTTAGAATCATCTTATAATTATTAGCCCGCTCATATTACAAAGTGCTACATCACGGCTACGAGCATCGGTACGGCCGTATTTACTGCTATATAGCCGGAGCGTAGACCAACCTAATCTTATCCACCATACTTAACTGTCGCTCTTGCGGTTTCTAGAAGTCCTCTTAACTATGCTAAGTTTAACCTCCCTCTTATATCTTCTTGCTGCTGTAGTCCCTACTATGGCGTCCTTCTCCAACACTACCATAACATACGACGAAGTCCGAGCGGCAATGAAGAAGCCACTCACTGCGGAAGAGCAGAAGAAGTACCGCGGAATTACAGATTCTGCAATGTCTGGACTTAAATATGACGAACTTTTCGGGATCAATACTTCTGAGGAGCTGATCATTGCCGAATCATATGGAAGGCAGGCCACTCCATCGGACGATCCCGACAACCTCTATCTCTTCTCTGCCGGCCATGGCTTGACAGCTAGATTCAATCAGTTGTATCGACAAACGACGCTTGAGTCGCAGTCGACCGTACCAGAGACTGTCCAGGCCGCCTCGATCGCAAATAGAACCACGATTGAACAGATGCACAATCAGTATCTAAACATGCCTAAGAGACCTGGATCCGACGACAAAGCGTATGTGGAGAACCAACTCAGTATGGTGGCCACTGATTTTGTCACCTGGTGGAACGAGTTGAGTACCGAGTCTCAGGGCCTTGAACGCCGACAGCAAGGCTATTATTGTAATGACCAGAACCAACACTGTGCAACAAAAGACGACTGCAAGAAGACGAGGACTATCCAAAGGCTAAAGTGTACATGTGGCAACTACGGCACATGCTCCACAGGCGATCTACCTCTGCCTCCTTACTGTCCCCATGGCGACTGCGGTCAGTAAACTTAGAAGGCAAGTCAGATAGAGGGCACGACAGATGGATACTATGGGGGTTTTTTTGCTGGGCCTTAGGCCAAAGTTTTTCCTCTAGATAGTATTCGATTGTTTGCTGGGTCTCTGGGAATTTCGATTGACGGCAATTCAAGGGCATTTGAGTAAGACTAGAATCACCACACAATTTCCATGAATGCATTTCGTTTGTCTCAATTCTCAGGTGTAGAATCTTCATCTTTGAGATCTCTTGCCTTGAACGTGTGTTGCTTGTCGTCGCTTGGCTTTGCTCGAGTGCAAAAGCGGTCAAGTCTGGCTCTGTCGAATTCAACCAAAGCGGTTGTCAGGGGGCGTTTGTGTTGCTCGTTCGCACTTGGGCGTCGAACATGCCTTTCTACTCCAAGGAAAGAGCGGGGCCACATGCCGCTCAAGACTGAGAGGGAGAAGAAGCTTGCACAACCAATTGGCACACGGGAAGTGAATCGCTTGGGCGGTATAGAACAATGTTTGGTGGTTTCAAATGTGTATCATTCATGCGGCGTGGAAGTATCCAAACCTCCTGTCTAACAATAGTTGTCAATGTATTCCTTGACAAGATCCTCAACTCGTTGATCTCTGAGCAGACCAAGCCTGTCTGGCGTGCTTGGGTCAAAGTCTTCTGGCCAGCTTCGCAAGATCCTCTCGAAGGTCGGGTTGGTCTCCTCTTTCAACAGCTTAAGCTTGTCTTCGCCTCCAAACTTGGCCAGAGCGTCCATCATCTCTTGAATTGTTGTAGAAACGCCGGGGAACATGATGTGTCTCTGATGCGGCGGAAGTGCGTCGCCAGGAAGATGCAAGACGCGGACGAGATTTTCGATTGTGCTACTTGGCGAACAGACGTATGTGCGATACGAACGGTCTTTGAGCGGGATCACACACTCTTCGCCCTTCATTGGCTCGCGGAACATGCCTGACAAGAAGGACGGCGCTGCGTTGCTTGGGGCACCTGGTCGAACGATGACGGTGGGGAAGCGAACGCTGAATGCGTCGATGTAGCCTTTTCGGTTCATGTCGTTGATGACGACTTCTGTTGCGAACTTGTGTGCTCCATAGGTACCTTCAGGTGTAGGCATGGTCGAATCGGTGATGACTTTCGGCAGCGGTTGGCCGTAGACAGCCTGAGAGCTCGAGTAGACGACGCGAACTCCAGGATTGGATTGGCGCAGGGCGAGAAGGAGGTCGCGCACGCTTTGCACGTTGACTCTCATGGACTGTGTTTCAAGTCAGACTCTGGTCTGTCTTCTTAACCGATTTCCATCACTCACCAGATCAAAATTCGCTTCTGATCCTGCCGACATGATTCCGTGAAAGATGAAGATGGCGTCGAGAGGTTGCGCGGCTTCGATGAGCGACTTGACAAAGGTGGGATCGCAGATGTCGCCTTTCATGCACTTTGCATTTTCAGGATGTGCGACGCCTTCGGGAACTTTTGGCTGTACAAGATCTGTCAAGACCAGCTTGTGGCCCTCGTCGAGAAGTCGCTTTGCGAGCATCGGGCCAATCATGCCTCCTGCACCCGTGATGATGATGTTCTTGCTGCCTGTCATTTTTTGGGGCCTGCCATGTTTGCGACTATGATCTAAAAGTATGCTGTAGAGATTTGGGACGGGTTGTAAAGTTGAACCTTTGAAAGTGTCGGCGACAAAAGATTATATGTGAGATCGAACAATCATCTCCGCCACGTCTCGAGGCCCAGTGTGGGGGCGGGGTTGGCCATGAGCCTCGTGCCGAGATGACCTTCGAAGCGGCTGGTCACACACTGCCTCGTCTCGAGTCAAAAACATCACGCTGACTTGACGGATATCGTGCTGCAAATTATGTGTGTGTCTGTGTTGGTATGTCGAAGTTAGACAGTCACACTCAGATGTGGAGAAGACGGGAGCATGGAAACGAAGTCGCGCGCAGCAAGTGTTTGACATGTTGGGCAAGAAACAACTCCGTCAAGTCCACCATTTTGAGAGTCGCAGACCCTTGTCGAAGCTGCGCTCGACCGAGTAGATTATCGCCTTGCGCTGGCTTTCCAAAAATTTGCCAGAACCATCAAGGTGCACTGCGTCCAGCAACACGCACCTAACTACGCGTCAAGCCATCTATTCACATGACAAAACCGAGTCACCAGATATGGAGGCAGGGTCTCATGCGCAGCCACATCGGAAATGGGGATTATGACTATATGTCGACCGCTCGCGATGCTCAAACCACATTATGTAGGCGGAACTGCCCGATGAAGATCCTACTTCCATGCAACCCAGTACTATCGCAATCAACGAGATCACCGGAGCAAACTCCAGAATTCAAGAGCAGGAAATCGATGAGACGAGTCTGTGCGGCAACTTGGATGAACTCATGCCGAGGGACGCGGGGTGTGCTTCGCCTCGATCATCTCGGCTCGGACGCCTCTCGACACTGCTCGTCCTCCCTCTCCGACGCATGCGCAGACTGCCATCGTTACGAGCAGTCGCTTCCATCATCACGAAATGCGCCCGGTATGTCAGGATCGCCTCGACCGAACAACCGTGTGCGCAAAACCAAAGGCAAGGGTCTCAGGACAAGGACAGGATGGTGCGTCGCCCAATCTGACTTCTCGATCGCAAATCGTGCGACACCCGTGACACTGGTCGATGTTCTAACCTTGGACTCNAGTACTACTTGCCGCGAGCGACACGTGAAGTGTGACGAGACCCATCCAATATGTCGCGCATGTCAAAGGGTCAATCGGCCTTGTCATTATAACACTGACACGTCGACTCGCCAAAGCTCAAGTCTGAACATCGTATAACTCCCATCCCGAAAACACTCGCCTCTTGATGGTTCTAACCGCTTCCAGTAGACACAGAACAGCGGCGCAAACAATGAACCGGATCCATCGACACTGCCTCAAGCCGAGCCACTCACTGCTCGAGAGCCTTCTAGTCAAGAAGCTGACGACTACGAAATTACCTTGAGTGAAAACGTAGCGACAACAGATATAGATGAGACGCCCTTGATCTATTATGATGAACACAATGTCAACCAGAATATTCAACTATCTGCCAACGACAATTTCAGTCTGCCGGCTCTGGAACCTGCAGCCTTGAATACGACGAGCCCTGCGTCAACAGCAAGTGGCAATCTCTACTCTGCAGAAGTCGCTCCCTGGAGATGGCTGGATCTTTTGAGACGTGATGCGACCGTCTCCGATGACTATCAGTCCGGTGGCTGCTACCTTGGGCCCGAACATGACAACAATGCACACCAACAAGTGGCGACAGGCCAGATGGGCTTCGACTGTGCAACGATACCGGAAGTTTATATGAGACAAGGAGACGCATACAACATCAAAGGCCAGCTTGAGTTATCGGGCTCAGAAAGAATACTGTTACGGCACTTTGTAGACAATATATCGTCCTGGTTTGATCTCACCGATCGTGATGCCTCTTTCACGACTTCCGTGCCCGCCATGGCGCTTCACAATAGAGGACTAATGCTGGCCATCCTCGCATTGTCATCGCGACATCAATCCCTACTCACGGGTCCAGAAACATCCTCCCGCATCGACAGAACAGTCGCCGTGCAATACTATAACGAGACACTTCAATACCTCCAGATTGCGATGAAGATGCCCGAATACCTCAAGAGCGAAGAGTTGCTAGCGACAGTACTTCTGATTTCAACATATGAGATGATAGATGGACTTGGGAGTGGATGGGAACGCCATCTGAAAGGTATGCAGATCCCGTAGGCATGGTTGTCGTACACGGTAGCACTAACTTCGTCAGGCGTTTTCTGGATCCAGAGGTCTCAGCTGATACATGGCGAGTCTGGAGGTTTGCGACAGGCAATCTGGTGGGCCTGGCTGCGACAAGATATCTGGGCAGCCTTCCGAGGCGGCCGAGTGATACTCAGCTTCTACACTTTGAAGAAAGATTGCGCCGAACTCGATCGCTGGGAGCTCATCAACAGAGTAGTGTGGCTCCTCGGGCAATGTATCAGCTTTGGCTCGGATGCCGAGGTCGAGGCTGGGAGAACCAACGTGCAACAGCGTATACATCGCGCTGCATTTCTAACTTCGAGGTTGGATGAATGGTCGATCTACTTCGCCATTCACCGCAAAGAGCTACCTGCCGATTGTTCCGAGGGCAACGCCTTCAAACCTCTCTGGATCAATCCAGTCCCTTGCAGTNNGAGTGTAGCGGGATGACTCCTTAAACCGTTGCTGATGAGCATAGGCGTCGCTGTACAGATCTACTACTTTGCCAGAATAATGCTGGCCGTTCATTCTCCGGCTGTCTCGGGTCTGAAAGAGTTGGAACGACAACGCCAGACTCTGGACAATGCCATCGATCAAATCGGCGGTATCGCATGCACAACAAGCGACACTTCTGCGACTATAATCTCAACTCAGTGTCTCTTTGCGGCCGGTCTCAACTTGCGTGATTCAGTCAAGCGAGAGCACATTGTCAGATTGCTCAGGTCTCATCAAGCTCGCACTGGATGGCCGGTCACCGATCTCGCGGAAGACCTGCAAGCCGAATGGGCGATGGATGCTTCGCCAGTTCAGGCTCGAAGCTAGTTGTGTTGTTGAGACCTTCTAAACTATCAAATATCTCACCCGATAAAGGCGAATAAGATCCATTGCAAGTGGAGGACATTATTTCCGATGCTTGTTCAATACCATCATCGAAACTGACGGAGCCATGCGAATTCGTGATTAGTGCTGCAGCCGCTACACGAGGTGCTCCATCGCAAGGACGTGGGCGCCCAAATGTATCATTTTGAAGTACTTACAGATCGTTTGCGTACCCGCGAGGTCGTATCCCGTGACGAGATTGTCAGTGGTTTGAAATGGAGTCTTAGTCGCAATCGGCTGGCAGACCTCGAGCCGACATACTGACCTTCAGTTACATGTGAAAAGCACACCTTGAGCGTGGCAAAACCAAATACATCTCTGCGTTCGCGAGACCAGGGACGGTTCCCTGGTTCTGCATTGCATTATGGCACCCGCTCGCTTCGAGACTTGGAAATCTCGTGCCAGTGACGCAAGAAGACATCGTGCCGAGCAATCTCTCTAGCTACTCCATACGCCACAACACCGCCCACCGCATGACCATGATCATAGAGTTTACAAGATCCGGGGTACTCCAGCGGGGCATGGCCCCTACATCCAACAACCTGGCAGAGCTATAATAACAGCATCACGATCCTGTTGAGTCGCTCCAAGGTCTTCCAAGCGATCAATCTCAAAAACAAGCAAACCAAGCATTCTCAAGCATTGACAGCCATGGCGATCGGTGCCAATACCCAAGTCGGTTCCTCTCGTATGGAAGAGCTTACCAGAGGCCGACGCGCCGGGTTCAAAGGACTTTTGGGAGCCAACATGTATCTTCTGTTCACTACTGGCACAGTCATCATCGGTTCCTTCCTCTATGGTACTGACCAAGGCGTCTTATCCAACCTCTTGACTGGACAGAATTTCGGGTCAAAGTTCCCAGACGTCTATACCGATGCTACTTTAAAGGGCTGGGTCGTGGCAATTCTGCAGCTCGGTGCCTGGCTCGGTGCTTTGATCAATGGGCCACTTGCCGACAAGATCTCGCGCAAGTACAGCATTACCGTTGCCGCTNNTTCGTACGGTTTTGATCCCGTCACAAATTATCTATGTATACTGATGGTCTGACAGTTGTTTACCGTGGGCAGCGCTCTCTGTGGTGGAGCGCAAAGTGTTGGCTACCTCTTTGCAGGACGCATCATCGCCGGTGTTGCTGTCGGTCAAGTCTCGCACGTTGTACCCCTCTACCTGGCCGAGATTTCTCCATCCGAGTTTCGTGGTGCACTGGTCTCTTGTCAACAAGTCGGCATTAGTGAGTCATGAGATCTCGCGTAATACTCCAATCCACTGACCAAGTGTCTTACTAGCNNCTCCGGTATCATGATCTCCTACTGGTTGTGCTATGGCACAAGTTTCATCGGTGGTCAAGCATGTAATGCCGACCAGAATGCCCAGTTTGGTGATGGCAGCTTCAACCCCTATACAGATGTCCCAGCAGGCGGTTGCAATGGGCAGACAGCGTTGGCATGGCGGCTTCCCTTGTGCTTGCAGTGCGTCCCAGCTGTCATACTTCTCGCAGGATCCTTCTGGTTACCTTTCAGCCCGCGTTGGCTGATGTCCAAGGGCAGAGAAGAAGAGGCTCGCGTCAACATCGCCAAGCTCCATGGGCTTGCCATCAATGATCCCATCGTTGAGACCGAATGGCTGGAGATCAAGGCAGCAGTCATGTTCGACGAGAGGACCGCACGCGAGCAGCATCCCAACAAGGAAGGTTTACGCTTGGCTCTGGGCAAGGTCAGCATGTTGTTGACCAACAAAGGTCTTTTCCGAAGACTCGCTTTGGGTTGTGTCCTCATGTTCTTCCAACAATTCACAGTAAGATGCCGCATCCAGACTCGAGCTCCCAAAAGATCGCTGACTTGTATCATANNGGGCATCAACGCTATCATCTATTACGCACCTACCATATTTGGCAGCTTAGGCTTGAACGTATCTACGACCTCTCTGCTCGCGACAGGTGTCCTTGGTGTCATCGACTTCCTTTTCACGTTTCCAGCAATCTTCTTCGTTGATCGCTTCGGACGCCGCAAGTTCTTGATGGCAGGTGCCCTCGGCATGATGATCAGTCACATTGTCGTTGCAGGAATCCTTGGCCACTACGAAGGCAACTTTGGTCTTCCTGGGGGCAAAGCTGCTGGTTGGGTCGGCATTGCTTTCATCTGGGTAAGTCTTCTCGTCGCATGCTGTCTCGATTACCACGATGCTGACAATCCAAACAGNGCTTTCGGTGCCAACTTCTCATACTCCTGGGGTCCTGTCGCATGGCTTCTTGCTTCCGAACTCTTCTCTCCCGGGCATCGCAGTCAAGCTGTCAGTATCATCATCAGCTGCAACTACATGATGAACTTCATTGTCGGCCAAGTCACACCCAATATGCTCCAAGCACTCAAGTTCGGTACCTATATATTTTTTGCCGCATTCTGTTTACTCATGTTCCTGTGGGTCTGGTTCCTAGTCCCTGAGACGAGATACAAGAGCTTGGAAGAGATGGATGCTGTCTTCGGTGATAACTTGGGTCAAGCGGATCAGGAACGCATGCGTGAGATTATGGCTGAGATTGGTTTGGAGCCGGCTACTCAAATTCATGATGATGCGTCAATCTTCGGTCGAGGAGGTACGGAGATGAAGGAGGGTCAGGTTTCCCACGTCGAGGAGAGATAGGAGAGTGCAGTAACGAATTCCCGAGCATTTGACCAAGTGTTATTGAAGTTGTTCTTACAAAGCGCCTGGCTCAACAAATCTTTGCGAGGTAACAAGATGATGACCAAGGTAATACGCAAGAAATTTACATACCTGTTGCATGTCGTGAGCCTTTCAGCGCAAGGGAGTGCAACCATGCAGCGCGAACCCCAAGTAGAATGTCTACTCGATAGAAACAGTGTAAACTCGGATCTTGCGATCTAAACTACACACCAAAACACCTTCGACTGCACCCTGATACACATTGTACAGAGTTGTGAAGTCTGTCTGTATTGGATGCATCTTGATCTTCACCAGCTCTCTCATGTCTGCGTCAATCAAGTGGAGCAGCATCTCATGTTCAGGCCATTGCGTAAAAGTTCTTTTCCATAGAGATTTTCTAGATGCTTATGAAATTGCTTGACCGCTCGATCCTGCAACATCCATCTGTTCTTCTTGCTGTCGCATTGTATGTTGTATGCCTTCGTCGATCAATTTAGTAAGGGGTATCTTGGCTGCATTCGCTCTGAAGTGTTTCAGATAGTCATCTAGCACCAGTCTGTTGACGTTGATCTTGCTGACACCAGCCTGGATCACACGCTGAGTGACTTCGTCCGGCCATTCGTTGGTGCCGTGAGCCACAATTCGTACCCGCCCATCCGCTTGCTTTTTGATCGCCTCCAGTCTNNGTTCTTGTGTCAGTCATCCGTTTTCCAACGCACTCGAAGCTTTGTACCTTGCATAGTCGAGCTGCGGACCAGACTTTCCATAAGGTGATTCTCCATGGATGTTACCAAAGGCTGGGGCCAAAAAGTCAACACCTGTCGCGATGAACTCTTCTACGTCCTCTGGTGTAGTCAAGACTCCCTCTAAGTCCACTGTATCTGCAACGCCATCTTCACCTCCTTCAAGACGGCCTGGCTCGGCTTCAGTGGAGATGCCTCGGGCATGGCAGTACGCAACAAGTTCCTTGGTCTTTGCAAGGTTCTCTTCTTTCTCGTAATGTGACATGTCCACCATGATAGAGTCGAATGGCAGGTTGTCGGCCGCGTGACGGATCAATGCTTCGTCCTGGGCATGATCAAGATGGATCGCAATGGGAACTGATGCTCTTGCCGCTGCATCCGCTGCCGCTCGGACAAGAAGTCCATCGGAAGCTGTGATGGCCCACGGGAACACTTGAATGATGAGCGGCGAACGCCTGCTTTCTGCAGCTCTGACCACGGCGACGATGTTCTCGATGTTGTANNACTGCCAGGAATCAGCGACGGTCATGGGTCAAAGCCGTACTTGTGACACTCACACGATCGATGCGATGACCCCATATCCTCCCTTCTCTGCGGCCTCCAAGATCTTCTTTGTTCTGTTTTGGGCAAGGCTCTTGCGAGACAAGTCTATCGTAGCTGCATTTACACCCATGATGATTTGTGTGCAGGGTCAGTAAACAGTATGCGATGGGCTTGAGGGCCGAGTCTATGGAAGTACGATGTTAGGTTGGGCGGAACGATATTGATCATAAGTGAAAATGAGGGGGCCCACTCGCGTCGAGGTGAGATATTGTCGGGGAGTGAAATGCCCTGATCAGCCATCAAGGTGCACTTGATTCATGTGAGAAGGGCTGGGATGTGCGGCAAGCCGACGTTCCGTGGGGTGGCACCGGTCTCGAGACGAGACATCTCGTAACGAGGTACAACCGCCCACCTTGCGTCACCTCTGCGATTTCCCGTCGGGGAAACCCAACGACCGGATGGACGCTTTGGGGACCATCGCGATGTCAATCGTACGCGCTTGCATTCCAATCGGCTAATGGAATCTCGACGATGAACCTGGGTTGTCTATCGCATCACTTCGCCAAGCTCCGACCTTCATGAGAAAACACCTACCTTGACCAGGTGCCCCCTCCCCGTCCTGTCTTGAGATAACAAGTCATAACAACGGACTGTCAACGATACCAAATCCACATGCCGTCTGCGCGAATCGCAACGTGTCCCAGCTGAACCATGACAACTTTCTCGAATGCGATGCTGCTTGCTGGCAAAGCTTGCGCGATAACAGGAGGAGTCTCTGGCATTGGCCGAGCGATTGCCATCGAGTACTTGCGCCAGGGTGGTGCTGTCGCAGTGAACCATCTCGGCGACCGCAGATCTGTCGAGCTGTATAAGAGCCTCAAAGCCGAAGTCGGCAAGGATGCGAAGCTCATTGGAGTCGGTGGTGACATTGGCAAGATTGATACCGGCAAGGAACTGGTACAGGCCGCAGTCTCCGAGTTTGGATTCCTTGACGTCTTTGTTGCAAATGCTGGCGTAAGCGTGTTCCATGATTTTCTCACGTTAGTATGATCTTCTCCAGTTCCTGACTTTCAGGCTGACCTTTGACAGNNCACCGATGAGAAGATGTTCGAATCGCACCTCCACGTAAACACCCGTGGCACATTCTGGTCTGTTCAAGCTGCTGCTCGACAGATGGTATCACAAGGCAAGGGCGGCTCGATCATCGGCGTTGCTTCAATCAGTGCCCTGCTTGGTGGTAAACAACAGGTACACTACACACCGACCAAGGCAAGTGTCCTCAGTATGATGCAGTCAGCTGCTTGCGCACTAGCAGAGCACAAGATACGGTGTAATGCATTGTTGCCTGGTCACACTCGCACACCAATGAGTGCCGACGACTTGGCCAAACCAGAGAAGTTGAGAGCTGTGAACGAAAGGATTCCTCTTGGTCATGTCGCAGAACCTCACGATATGGCTGGACCTGCCGTGTTTCTCGCAAGCGACATGAGCAGCTACGTTGTGAGTCTTGTCAGTACTATCCAATGATTTCTTGTTGACCACTTTTCTAGNACAGGCGCACAACTGTTAGTAGACGGAGGATTGTACGTGAACCTGCAGTGAGGACTGCTAATGTCGGCATTGTGTCTTCGGAGTGCTTCAACCTTCGGTCGAGTATAGTCCATCGAAGTTGCTCAATTTCAACACCGATGAAGATTGCGCGAACACACAGAGCTCTCCGGAAATAGGAAGCACGGCAACAGCTTCGACATGGACTCTTTGGGATACGTCAAAGTTCCTGACAGCTTGTGAACGAGGTCTACCTCCGTCAATGGCTTGAGCCTGATTTAGCCCAGACCAGTACAGTTCACACGCCACAGTCTGCTTTCGCACGCTTCGAACGCCTCAGTCAGCGGCTTTGGCGTCCCATGTCCAGCCAAGCTCTATTTGGTACCACTAGAAGGCTCGCTTTATATCGTTAATCCTACTTTTTACAGCATTGTAGCAGAGACTCAATACCATAATTGAGAGTCCATGAGCAGTCGAGTGGAGAGTCGGAAGAGGGTTGTTTGATGATCTAGACCAAGATCTCCGATGACGCAACGGTGTCAACGGTTTCAACGAAGAACAGACTCTGAGACTGACACGAACACGAAAACGTCCATGATTTGGAAACCATCATCATCTGAGTATGCTTTGTGTCGTGGTATACGGTCACAGAAATGTGGTTCGAGCAAATCTTGGTTGCTGCTGACGGATCGCATGCCCCTGTTCAGACTTGGTCGGCGTCAACCCGAAAGCTCATCTACAGATCAATGTGGATCGCTCGAATTATGCCCGCAACAGCTGAGGAAGCGCGCTGTATGCGGGACTACTGACCATTGCGCATGCTGAGTCTTACCCCAAACACGAGTTCGTCCAGATTTACCAAACACTTTGCTTGTCTCAGCGCAATGACCTTGTAGTCATCTTGCGCAATACGACCATCACCAGCCAGGTTGCTGCAGGACACGATCGCCGGTTATTCGGCTTTCCTTTGACCGTTTCATTGAAACAGCGCAACGAACCGATGAAGTGTGTTCAGACGAGACATTCTTCGTATGCGTCTGAGACATCTTGGACATGAACGCCTGTGTAGATACTGTTTGCTTGCTATATAAAAGGATGTGACATGGCCAACCTGTTGCAAAATCATCAGCTCCAACTTCATACCCTCTTTCGCAGACCAACAACAACTTCTTCCAGTACTTCGGTACCAGTCACTCTTTGGCAACACAACGATCCTCTCAACTTCTCATCACTTCACAACTTCTTCTTCTTCTACTAGACTCATCAGACTTGACTCATCAGATAAACATGCGTTCCACCTTCTCTGCTATCGCCGCCCTGGCTGCTATTGCTGGCGCCCAGTCCACCACCTCGATTGACATTGCAGCTATCTCGGTTCCCGCTCCCACTGAAGTCTTTGTTCTTCCAGTGGTTTACGTTACCGAGGCTGGTGCTCCTATCCAAACCGCAACCACGCTGGCAGCATCTGCTACGGCTTCCAGCGATGCACAGGCGACCAATGTGTTCGATTCGTCGGCCGATGTTAGCGCTGCCATCTCGTCTGCCTCCGAATTAGCCATCGCTACTTCCACTCCCATCTCTCGCATCAAGCGTGACACCTGCGTCCAGCAGCCTCTGGGTATCAGCTACAACTCGGTCCCTGATACTGCAGCTGCCTTTGCCGCCGACACCTACTACGGCCTCAAGGCTGTTGCTGCTGGCGCCCCTACCGGCTACGTTCAGACCATGTCTAACTTGACTGCATCCAACTCGGCCGACAAGTACATGGGATTCACTCTGCTTCCCACTTACGATGTCGCCTCTTGTGTCAACCAATGCAATGCCATCAGCGGCTGCAACTCGGTCAACATCTACTTCGAGCGCGACCCAAGCGTCAACCCTGATAGTTCCGCCTGTCAGAACCCTTCTAGCACAATCAACATCAAGTGTGTGTTCTGGGGAGGCGCAGTTGTTCCCGCTAACGCCAACAACTTTGGTCAGTGGCGCGAGAACTTCCAGGTTCTCATCGCTGGCAGCAATGGTTACATGAAGTCTACCTACGCATCGATACTCGCTGCCCAGGCCACTGCCACTTCTTCCAGCTCGTCTGCAGCTGCCTCTGCTACTGACACCGCTGGCAACATCTACACCATTTACTACTCGTCTGATTCGACCACTGGAGCCTACTCTAACGCCCAGGCAAGCTCTTCCTACAAAGACTGCATGACTGCTTGCGATGCCGACTCCAAGTGCAATGCTTTCACCTACGTTGGTGGTACCAACGGTGTTGGCTCAGGTCAGTCAATTGTCGCTCTCCTATCGACCCATGAATGCTAATGTGGTTTCCAGGCACCTGCTGGCTTAAGGCTTCCCTCGGCTCTCCTTCGAGCTCGGGCAACAACGTCATTTCCGGAACTCGCTCTGGCAAGGCCGTGTCCTCGTCGACTTCTAGCACTGTCTCAACCACTTCTTCGTCCAGCTCGAGCAGCGCCAGCAGCACCAGCAAGGCTTCCACCACCTCCTCCGCCACCTCAACCAGCTCCACCGCCTCTTCCACCTCGAGCAGCACCAGCAGCTCTTCCGCAGCCGCCACTTTGAGTCCTACCTTCTCAATCACTTCCGGCGACTCTTACTCCTGGCTCGCAGTCGCTCCCGGTGCTAACGGAGCCACCATCTGGAACATTGATCAGAACGGACCCAACGCCTCCGACTTCAAGTTCCGTTTGAACCTGAGCAACGGCTACCTCCTCGAGGCTCAAGGCGCCAGCACTGGCTATGCCGCTACCACAGGCCCTGCACTCAACGGCAATGGATTACAGCAGGTCTTCTTCAACCCTGTTGGAAACGCTGCCAGCACCTATGTTTCTTGCGCGCAAAACACTGCTGGTACTCCTCATCTTGACTGCAAGGTCAAGAACATTTTGCAGCAGGCCTATGTCTGTGACGACAACTGGAACAATGTTTATCTGGTTCCTGTTGGCAGTGCTGTCCCTAACAACTGCTACCAAACTAGCGGTATCTTCTACGCTTAGAGGTTGCCATGGCAGTCTTTCGAGTTAAGTGATCATTGCAGTCATGTTTGTTCTTGGTTTCTTGTCTTTTGCTTGGTTTCCCGGTTCATGTTCCTCAAGATGGTTCTTGGTTTAGCAATGGTAGTTTACAAGGTGCAATACAACTATGGTCAAATCATCTACTCTTGATAGCGCCCACTATGTTACAGAAGTCACTTTGATTTAAGTGTTTGTCAGCCCACGCTGTGCAAGAGCGAACCATCGACTTGTCAATGTATCAGCTCGTACACACTGCTCTGAAGACAGTCTATGTTTGCTATGTCTAGTTGTTGCTCTGTGATATATGTTACTTGTGTCGTGGCTATTGTTCTTGCAGATGGCTTGTAATATGTTGATGGATATGAATCTTTGGTTAAGGCATATATGACTTGGTCTCTCGGAAGCCCCACAACCCGACTGCCTGCTTTCGAAAGCCCCTAGATCGACCTTACAAGCTGGTGTCTCTATTTGCCTACCGCCTTCCGATTCTCAACAGGCAAGCGACACTCTAAGAAGCGAATCTGTAAGAGTTTGTTGTACTTGGAATCGGGGCTGATTGCAGATTGTGAGTGGAATACTGCGGCAATTGCGTTTTGCAAGATTGGACAGTACATCATTCGAATGTAGCAGCGAACCTGCTGAGTTCAAAAGTTTCATGTGTATCCTCATAGTCAAGCCTAGGAGCACCAGAATATCTCAAGCCATGGTTTCACTTGTCGGAGACATGTTATGCGATTTACAGGTCGTTAAGATAGACATGCTCCATGCTCGGCGTATCTGTTAGTGGAAATGGCATAAGTCAGCAAAGCCTCGCGACCTTTACAATCTCATTCGACGGCAGCCACAATTTCATCTTATCCTCATCATACAGCCCCTCCTCTTAGCACTACAAGAATGCCGCATCAGCTATTTGGAACCCCTCATCAGAGTAGAAATCAACGGGAAAAACGATGCTTACGATGGAATGTATGTTTTTCTCACTGCTTTCATTACATGGTGAAAATACCATTTCAAATACGCCAATGTCCACTGAAACGCTTACGGCAAACCCAACCAAGTGACAGATTACTCGCTCCAGACTTTACACAAACAACCAACCTCCAAACAGCAGTCCCAGTCCCATATTAACAAGTCCCGCTGAGTGAGCTGAGGCAGCACCCGTAGAAACCGCAATACTGCTCGTGGCACTCGCAGCCTTCGACGTAGCCGAGCCGGCAGTACCTGATGCGGCCGAAGCAGAGGAAGCTGTTGAAAGAATGTTAGTATACAATTTTCGCATACATTGTTCGCGTGTCAGAAAGGCGAGAGGTGTTGAACATACCTGATGCAGCGCGAGAAGAAGATCCACCAGCAGCACCAGCAGAGGACGCGGCACTGGAGGAAGCTTTCGAGGACGCCATCATGGAAGATGCCTGTGAGGCCGAAGAGGCCATCGAAGATGCTTTGGAGGACGACACCATCGAAGCAGAAGACGACATCATTGAAGCTGACGATGCTGTCGCACTGCTGACTGCTTCAGCAGACGACGAAGAACCACCGGCTGCAGCACCACCGGCCGCGCCATTGGCAGCTAAGACACCGCCATAGACGCTGTCAGGTACTGTGCTAGTCCCAGCCGTCGAGGCAGCAACGATGAATCCGCCGATGTTGTCACCACCGGATGAACTATGCAGGTGGTCAGCAACGAGCAAATCGCCTGCGAAAAGCACTGCGAAAAACTCACGGAGGATTAATCACACCAACCATGCCAGCCTGACAATGATCTCCTTGCGGGCAATAATACCAAATCGGATCAGTATTGTTGACGGTGATCGTGAACGTCGTGTCCGACTCGCCGCTTGCAACCTTGACAAAGCCAGAGTTGAAGCCATTGTCCATGGCCGCACAAGGGCTAGCATAGCTGCTGCGAGCCACACCGTGGGCACGAGGGTAGAAGTGGAAAGTGACAGTGTCACCAACAGCAGCAGTGGTCGAGTTGGGAGAAAAGACCAGACCGTCCTCACCAACGTCGACGGAATGGGAGGCAGCGTAGGCAGAGCCCAGCAATGAAACGATGGGGAGAGTGTACGACTTCATGTTGCAGGTTCGTAGGTTTGGAAAAGAAATCTGAATGTTGCAGCAATGAGAATTGTTATCAGCGGATGTTATTCAGTGGACAGCGGAGAGGTCTTATAAGTAAGAAGCAGCTTAAGGCGGGTTGCGAGAGCGATTAGAATCTATTGATTGTTGCTGGTCAACGCTAGGAACCAGAAACCGTAAAGTTGTCTGGGCCCTGATCTGCAGTATACGAACAACATGACAAACAGAGAACGGTGTCCCCTTGGAGGTCATGCGTCTCCTTGACTGGCTCGGAGACATATAAGCGTTCGTGGCTGATGACAAGGCGTTCTTAGGTTGTCAGATCTTCGTGCTGAAGGTCTCATACGTGGAGTCAAGTCCGCTGTGCTGGGACCAGGACCACCGCTTTCCAAGCTGCATACTCCGAGCATACTTAGAGCCGATTGAGTGTGCGCAGACGGTTACTGCTCGATGGAAGAGTGTCTAGTAGACTGTATGGTGTCGAAGAAGAGAAGGGAGAAAATTTGGGGGGTATGCGGGGAAGTGAACGACAGCGTTTAGCAACAACGGCTGAACCGGTTCCAGAACGAGCACGCAGCTCCTCGGATGACATCCAGCCAATAATCTGAGCATAACAACAAGTTTAGCCCATGAGCTGTACGAGACACAAGAAGACAAGACTCTGTGCAACGAAGATTAACCTTGTTCAAGTTTGTAAACATAGAAACTCATGCGATTGGACCAAATTGTCAAGTCCACTTTACACGGTGCCCGGTCGCATCTCTCTCAGACGACGCAGGGGCTGAGCACTACCCAACATCTCTGCTAACAGCTTTTGATAGTCCCATCCCACCTCAGCGGCAGCAATAGCACTCAAACTAGCCTGATTCTCTCTGCCGGGTCGTCCAGATCCCGTCATATTCGGCTTGGGATTTACATCGAAAAGAGCAAATTTTGATCCAGGCTCTTGGGTGAAGCGACGGACATCGATGCGCATGAGAGCAGTGACTCCCAGCCTTTTGGCGACTTGCTCGCATTCGGTTGCGATGGCTGAGTATGTAGGATCTTTTGCATACTCCGCGGCCGTCACGGCGCGGGAGTTTGCGGTGACGGGGACAGTACCGTTGTAGGGCACTACACCATTGGTATGGCCAGAGCGCATGACGATAGGGAGGGCGCGGTGGTAGGGGTAGTCGTCTGAAGGCGGCATGATTGTGACAGTTGCTTCTTCGCCAGCGAGATAGTCTTCGAGGATGACGGCTGGCGACTCGTTGAACAAAGACTGCACATGTTCACGCAATTCCTCTTGGTCGTGACAGATCTTTACGCCGTGACTGCCGCGGCCTCTGACTGGCTTTCCAACAACAGGGAAGCGCAGGTCGAGTGAGTTCAGCTTTACATCAAGAGCTGAGCCCTCGTCCTCGACTAGCCAACCACGAGGCAGAGTGAACTTGCCAGACTTGCGCAACATGTCATTGACATAATGCTTGTCGTCATACAGCTCGACCATGCATGGAGGATGCCCAACAACCTTGACTTTATCCTGGTATTCTCCGACTCTTGCTGATGTTTGGAGGGGGTGACTGGCAAAGACGACCGTGTTGGCGAAAAGGTGTGTGGCCCCTTTCTGCAAAGCTGCAAGGATACCATCTTCCGAGTCTGGAAAGCTCCATCCAACATGCTCGCGAGGGTTTGGCGAATCGATGGGTGTGATGATGTCGATGCCGGGTTGGTTGCGCAGGTTGAAGGCCATGTCGGCGCATCCGTCTTGGTAGCCNNTAAGCCGAGTCAATTCATGTCCCATCATGTCTCTGCAGCATCTAGACGTACCTCCAGGCTTCATTGGCTTGCGGACGCCATTGATAATTGGCGACTCGATGGCTTGGTAGAGGAGAGCGACGCGTGCTGTATGGACACTTCTGCTGTTCTGTAGTTGAGACATGATCCTGTTCCTCGACAATTGTGTGACAAGCAAAGCCATCAGAGAAGGTATGGATACTTATGCTACCTGTAAGAGAGTCATAGTCGAGCGCGAGATGGAGGTTCCGGCGTGGAGTCCTAATGCCGTCCGGAGCTGCGCGACACTTGCCGGCCGACGGTCGGCTCTGCCTTACCTGAGCCGGTGGGCAGCCGGTCTAGTTTTACTGTGCCCGGAACAGATGGGCATCTCCAACACGCCTTGTTGTTCGAACGTACGGCTTGGGTTCGTAGCGTTACATACAGCGAGGCTAGAGCAAGCAGTATGCAGAGACAGAGAAGACGGAGGGGTCGAAGAAGCGGACACTCCCGTCATGACAACACAATGGTCCGTGTCAACTTTTCCGCCTCCAGCTCCTGTCTTTCCTGCAAAACACACAAGCACACAAGCACATACGACATCAGAATATGGTTGAAAGAGGTCAAGGAGATTATATTTGAGTAATATATGAACATAGGAAATGTTATAGGTGGTATGCTAGAAAGATATGATGAGAGGAAAAAGGAAATAAGAGGTTTTCAGAAAGAAAATAGATCAAGGAGCCTGCCTCGAAGTAGATGCCGAACTCGAACTCGCACCCGCCGAACTGGAATGTCTGTCCGATGAACTGGACGCCACAGACGACTTGTTGTAGCGAGGATCATCGGGATCCATCTCCTCTTCGTCTTCTTCCTCGATGACAAAGTCGGCGACGTATTGACTATGTCTGTTGTTCTCCATGTTTCTACTATGGCGATCGTTCTGCTCGAAGCCTTGTGGCGGCTTGGGAGACGACATGGTTGTGGCGCCCAGGGCGGCCTTTTCGGCATCGTTGAGAATGGCGCCGTCGACGATGGTGGGGCGTCTGGCTGTGGGGTCGGAGATGGAGCCTGGCAGGAGGGTAGGGCGTCTGACCATGTTGCCGGCTCCGACACCTGTCTCTCCGACGGCCGTTTCCTCGTCCTTGAGGGCTGCGCTGTCGCTGTTGCGGTCGAGGAAGAGGTTGCGAGGGAAGGGCTCGAGGGTGGGTTGTTTGGGCACCTTGGGCTCCATGGCCCAGCGGGCAATGTTGCGACAGCAAGCTGCGGTGATGGTCTCGGTCAGGAAGGACAGAGCGATGACAGTGATGGCAAGGGTGAAATAACAGACGACTGCTGTTGCCAGAAGCACGCCCCAGTAAGGTGCGCCAGTCGATCCGATCATGACCACCATGTACGAACCAAGAGTCCACCAGATAAATCCGTGGACGAGGTAGATGGTGAATGCATGAGGGAAGATGGGCTGCCAGACATTCATTGATAGGAAAGCCTGGAACCATGTGCTGGTCTCGACCAGGAATTGCATGGAGACAGCGAAGACCAAGGTGTTGAGGCGAGGCTCGAAGTATAGCGGGTAACCACCCCTGATAGTGTCACCAAGCTTCTTGCCGGTGTACATGTCAGGGTGGATGTTTCTCTCCGAAGACATGGTCGTGATGTCAAGACGATCTTCCAAGAGAGTCATGGCAGCACTGGCAATAGCCAAGACCCACATAACCATACAGAACACCACGGACAGAACAGGACGAGCCTGGATCTTGGCACTGAACTTGTAGGTGACCTGCAGATCTGCCAACATCAAACCAGCCCAGAAGCAGGATCCCCAACTCAGCGAGTACCAATGGGCGACAACACACCAAGAGTAGAATGCAAAGCGCTTCCAGTGAGTCTTGATATCGCGAATCATGACGACAGCCAGGAGGGTCATGAAACTGAATTGCAGCTGGACGGGAATGGACCAGAGCACACCGACACAGTAGTGACTGACGACTTGGGGTGCAGCATTGGGGATCAGGTAAGCCAGCTCCAACATAGCGTTGAGGTAGTGACCAAAGTTGTCGTAATTGGACATGAAAGCCCACTCGGACCAGGAGATGGAGGGAAGGTACGTCAACCACTGCATAAAGTCAAGCTCGAAGCACAAGTACTCGATCGCGGCGACAATGAAGCAGGGCAAGAGCAAACGGGGTGCACGGAGAAGAGTCTTCTCAGCGATCATGCCCAAGTCGCCATCACGGAGGTATCTAGCGGCCAAGAATCTACACGAAGTGACGAAGAAAGGTCCAAGCTATCGATTTTGTCAGTAAGAATGCATATAGTTTTAGATTTGCTGACTTACCCAAATGGGGTTGAGAATCGCAGGAGTGACGGTCCAACGAGCCCAGTATTCACTTCTGTAATGCTGACCATAGTTCAAACCACCGGCGTAGGGGTTGAATGACAGCATGAAATGGATGACGGTGACACCGAGAGAGGAGAAAGCGACAAGACCGGCGAGGTAGTTGATACGGGCTTCGTGTTCCTTTGCCTTGGGCAAGGGCATATCGACAGCGGACACGGGAACGGCTTCGGCGAGAGTGATGCGGCGACCCATCTTCATCTGTGACTCGTGAGGAGGATCGATGGTGCTGACTTCGTGCAGTTCCTGGGTGTTCCAGTCTCTCATGGGGATGGAACCACGAGAAACGCCAGAAGCCATCGATACACCTCCAATGCTGGCAAAGTGGTTCTCACGGTAACGCTCGAGTACGCTGGGCTGTCTTCCTCTAATGATAGTGGAGCGACGGGCATCTGGGGACTGGTGGGAAAGGTCTACGTCTTGCAAAGTATCCGGATCGCGCATAACGACACCGGCGAAGTTTGCATGGCTCTCTCTTCTGGCAGCAGTTGGTTTTCCATTGTCAGAGTCAGATTCGGTGTGCGTCAGGTTCTGCTGCAGCCCAATGGGTTCGACGCGCTCGGCGTCGTGCATACCGTGTTGGAGAACATGTCCAAGAGCCTTGACAGTGCTTCCGCTGCGACCTTTGATGCTCTGGAAAGTGCTCGCTTGACGGTTGCGGAAAGTCGTGTCTTCGGCAAAAGCGACACTGGCCTTTCTGACCTTCTTTGCCTGTTCACTTCTCTCGGGGAGCATCTCGGGGAGTTGACCGTGGTAGGCCATACTCTTCCTGCGCCAGTCGGTTGGCTGTGCGTTAGACATGGTTCGAGGGAGTTCGGTGGCTGTAGCAAAAGCATTGCTGTGTCTCTTGACAAAGTCGTCTCCAGACTCGGCGTCGAAGGGGTTGAAGAATTTGACACTTCTTCTGCGCATGCTGTCACGCTTGTTATCCTCGACTGGTGTAGCGACATCGACAAAACCAGCGACCGACGGCTTCTTTTCGGGAAGTGCAGGAATCAAGGTTTTCTCATCCTTCGAAACACCCAAGAGCTGCTGAACGAAGGGAGAAGGCGAACTGAGTTCAGGCTCCACGTGAACCTTCTTGCCTCTGTTCTTAGCCAGAAGCAACTTCCAAGGAGCTCTTCTGAAGAGCACGTTGATAAGGGTCAAGCAACCGAAAGCGAAGACTGCACCAGAAGTGGCACCAGCGGGGACGCGCCAGCTTTTGCTCATAGGAGGCTCTTTGTATGGGACAAGAGCAGCTTGATCGTAAGGACTCGAGCCACGAAGAGTGATGTCGTCGACTGAGCACATTTGGACTCCTCTGCAGCGACCATCAAAGGCGGTTTGTTGATCCTCGGTGGTCAAAGAAGAGTTGAAGAAAGCACGAACCCAAGCGACGTCGGCCTGGTTGCGTTGGTTGGGAGGGCCGGCCATCCAGTACTTGTCCCCGATCGACCAGTGCTTGAAAACCAGAGGCAGAGGCTCGCTGAGATCAGTACGGCTACGCTTGGCCGATCTGGTCTGGTTGCCTCCAAAGGTCCAGTTGACGTGCTTGGCGGTCCAGTCGATCTTGCTCTCGACGAATTCCCATGGGTCGCCACCGACAGTAGCGTTCTTTTCGTTGGCAAAGTAAGTGTAGTTGAGCTGGTACTTGGTGTCGGGGAATTCGCCGTCCTTGAGGGCCAAGAATTTGGCGTCCTCGGGATATTGCATGTTACACATGTCGACCTCGATGAAAGATGTGCGGTTGTGGTAGAGTTCCATCGACATTGCGGATCCACTACGAAGGCATTGTTGTCAGCTTCAATCGATCTTTTGGCCTTATATTCGAGAATCTACTTACCCAGTGTTCTTGTTCGGTCCTCGCATAGAAGAACGGAAGGTACCAAAATGGATATCCTGTCTCAGGGCCTCGATACCGGCACCCTGGACATAATGCTGCCCAGTACCCTGATCAATCCAGAGTTGCAGCACTTGCTCATTGACATTCTCATCTGTGGCATTGCCAATCATCACATTGTCAGGAGTCGCACCTTGTCGATACAGCGAGTTGTAGCCATACTCTCTGCGATGGTGGAACTCAAGAGCCTTGAATTCTTGGGGTAACTGGTTAGTCTCGTTGAAGTATACGATCAGTGCATCCGTCCAAATCTGATCATTTGCAGCATCGAGAAAACCGCAAGAGCAGTCGGAAACATCCAGAGCGGAGGTGGTGGTGGCCGCCAAGATGGCACTTGTTAGTGCGATCCCCCACTTCATGGTTGCGGTATGGAAGGAGAGAGCAAGCAAAACAATAGAAGAAGAAGATAAATCAGAGGCAAGAAGTATAAGAAGGCAAAAAGGCTGTAGGCAGTTTTGGATTATATCCAAGCCGCACGTGCCCTATCCTACCAAATGGTTGACGTGTGAGTGGCAGGTATTGGAAACAGAACAAGCAGGAAGGAAAGGGCGATCAATGTATGATGCAAAGGATTATTACTGGCGATCTGGACCCCGATGCAATCAGTACGCTTGCCATTGTTGTGGACACTCATCACCATTACCAGTATACAACCGTCAGCCGCATAGCGCAATGCCCCTAATGACCGATGGCTATTGCCATCTGGGCGGAAGTGGAGTGCAAGGGTCGGCACTATGGACAGTTACAAGTCATCGTACGGATCAGCCTACCTTGTTTCAGTTGCTTATTCTTGTGGTTGTTTGTTCTATGCGGCAACTTCCAATGCTTCTGTAGATCAATAAATCGGGTGCAACGGCGAGGTGAAGTAAAAGGAGCGGTGATGCGTGCCCAACGTACGTACCGTGTACATTTGTGGTAGAGCAACCCAAGATTTGAGTATATATAGTTAAGGGTAGGATTGTATCAGCCGTTTTGATACAACGGCTTTTTTGGCTGCTTCAAATCAGCGCCTATCCCACACGTTCGTTCATGAATCGTACAGACTTCTGACATTTGTACTAAGCGAAAAGCCGTTGGCAAAAGCGTTGCGTGGTAGAATTATCGAGGACTTGCAGCAACGGTCATATATCGAAACTTCCGAAAGGCTCCAGTCAAGGTATTGAGGCAGTCTTCGGCGAAATTATGCTCATATTAACAATAGCGGTCGTATGGATCTTTTTAATGCTAAGCTATGCAGTCTAGACCATGATGACAAAGGAAACAAGTTATATAGATAGGAAGAAAAGAGTAGAAAAGAAAGAAAAAATGGTGGTAAAAGAAAGATGGCGAAGAAACGAACAATGCTACTTTCTCGAAGTAGGATTCCAAGATGAGTATCCGATGATCTCACGGAAGTGTCCATAGATACCNNTGGGTGCGTGATCAGCAAGTGCTTGTGTCATTGTCTTGAGCTTATAGGAGGACTTACCCATTGTACCCTGGAGGATCAGATAGGGCACGTAGATGGCGGAGAAGAGGATCATGTCGTAGAATGAAGTGAACTCGGATCGGACGATCTCCGTGATCCATAGCGTCACGATCAAACTTCCGACAGTGAGGAAGANGAACCACTCGGACAAGGCGTAGCGGAAGAAAATCAATCTGGCCAGTTCACCTGAGTTGTGGGGCCAGCCGGTGATGAGGAAACTGAACAGAAGGCAAGTGTGNNTCTGATGGTTGTTAGCACAATATACATGATCCGCCGCAGACATCGTGACTTACTGAGTAACGAGGTAGTAACTCATTTCACGGACAATGATGAGAGAAAGAAGACCGTAACGCTCGCTCAAGCAGCGAGTGCCGTTGGGAGGGTTGTCCCAGATCATGTGAGCATGGCGAATAGAGGCTTGAGTCCATCCCTGGGTCCAACGCATTCTTTGCTTCCAGAAAGCCATCCAGAATGTCGGTGCCATTTCGTAGGACTTGACGTTCATGTCGTGGACAGCTCTCTTGCCCTCACCATAAGCTCTGAGGGCAGAGTCGATATCCTCGCAAAGCATGTGACCGTGCATTTGGTGACCACGTAGCAGCTCGGCCTTCCAGTAACCGTTACTTCCACAGAACAGACCGAAGGAGAAGAGACGCGAACGACCAGGATGCGATACAGCATAAATCTTGTCGAATTCAAGAGCAATCATGCGGGTGAAGAAGGTTTCCTTGGAGTTGTAGACGATACATCTGCCTTGCACGATATCGACAGTAGGGTCGGCAATGAAACGTTCGGCGGCCCAGCGAGCATTGTAGGGATGAGGGAAATGATCACAATCGAAAACAGCAATGATCTCGGCGCCGGTGTCGAGGGTGAAGAAGAAGTTGAGGTTGTCGGCCTTGGACTTGGAGCCTACAACCTTGGTGACACGAAGCAAACCACCGTGCTGCTTCTCCATCTCGAGCAGCTCGGTCTCCAGAGGCTCGATTGGCTTGGGGGTGTTGTAGAGCAGGTTGATGCGCAGCTTGTCACGAGGGTAGACAACCTCCTCGAGGGCGTAGTTGACTTGATCCTTGACGATGTCCTGCTCGTTGGGCAAGTACGCGACAATGACAATGTCGAGAATTGGGAGAAGATCATCGGGAGTGGGAAACTCGCCGCAAGCATTGACTCTGATAGCAGCTGCTCTCGCATCGCGGAGGGGTGAAATACCCAAGAAAGCCTCAATGACTGTACAGGCGGCGATGTAGAAGTTGATGACCATGAAGAAGTAGTAGAAACCTTTGATGGTTCCTTCATCGCAAGAGACGTAGAAAGTTATCGATGCCACCCAGTAGCAGATTGTGAGGATGAAGGGAGTCCATTCGAAGACCCAGTTTGACGAGTATTTGACAGCATAGTCGAGTTTGCCGAATACCTCTTTCAAGCCCGACTTTGCGGCCTTGCCACCCTTGAACTCGTCGGCCATGACTGTGGTGGTGTTGGTGCTCACGCAGGGGTGTGATTTCGATGTAGAGAGGAAGGGGAGATTGCGGCAAAACTTCAAAGACTTTGGTCCAGTATTCAATTTATTCAAGCAGCATCCTTGATCAAGCCTATCATCACGAGGCTTCTAGATCCGGAAGTCTGCTGAATCTCTAGACCCATCGTCAGATTGGATTCATCGAAATGATCAACGTCTGCAATTGACGAAGGTTGTCTGTTTTCGGGACTGCTTGACGTAGTCGCCATGGCGCTCACTGATCTAACCGTTTCGACAGAGTCGCGCGTTGGAATGAGATTGCCAAGGGTACGGACGTACGGACTCGGTTGACACTTTCGGTAAGGAAGAACTCCAAAGAGATGGAGTTTGACTGGCGCCACCAGTGTATACCGCGGGGATCGATTGACAGGAAGCCATCGTATGAGAGGAAAAGCGAAACGGCATGTCTTACTATGGCATAAACAAAAGAGAGGAGTTAACATAGTAGGGCATCAGAGCACCAAAGGGGTATGAACGCGCAGATCCGACGTTATCCGGAAAAACCAGGCAAGCATGGCTGTCATATGTTTCAAAAACGGCGTGCCGAGTGAAGAATGGATTGTCCGTACAAGGAAAGGGTACTGATCAGATTGTGCTTGTTGTCCAAACGGTGCGGCTTGCGGCCGTTGCAGGGCTGACAGTTGATATCACGGGCCATATTCGGGTCACTTGTGCGGCCGTGGGTCCGAAACGGTTGTCCATGGCATACCGTGGACCGGGCGTGAGATGAACGGATGGAGGAAACGGAAGTCTGGACACAGCTAGGGTGATTGACGCCTATAGTCGCCGTTTTGATCAAAACATGACGAGAGCGTGGACCGGCAACGCAAGTCAGGGTCGAGAGATTGATGAGCAAATTCATAGTTGATGTCTTCAGACACTCCATCTCGGGCATTTGAACTCGAACTCACCTTGTTGTTCTCCCCTCCGACGCCAAAGCACGCTCCTTGGGCAAAGTCAAGACATCATGCCCGGCTACCAACCTCAGAATTACATGACACAGCGGCGAAAGTCGTCTGTCCTCAGCAACTCTCAAGACCACCTTTGGGGCATCCGCGCAATTCTCGCAGTGCAGAGTTTCGCCTGGCTGTTTTTCAAGGTCTTTGATCCGACGCTGACAGTGCCGGCACCGACGACGACTGGAGAACACGTACCCAACAACGCACCATCGACAGTGCCTGGTGTGTTTGGCGGTCCTGGAATTGTCGCTCCTGGTGCTGGTTCCGGGATAGTGGCTCGCGATCTGTATGCTCGCGACTTGTATCCTCGCAATCTCAGTATGTCAAGATCTCCTTTTTCCTTCCAAATCATAGAGTGGACGATGGGAGCGAGCGGTGCGGGGCAACGACGAAGGAGCACAATTTGGCGGAGAAACATCGGCAAAAGGCGGCAGCAGCTCCGTCCTCGACATCGTCTCTCGATTCCGAGCATCTCATGGCAGAACTTCTGCAGCTCAAAGCAGATAGTTTTGCAACAGCATGACGCTTGGGACTGTAGATGGGTGATGAAGCTGAGATTGTGCCGAATAACCCCCATGGGCAAGGGCCTATGGCTTGCGACTTCCAGATTGAAGAAGCGACCGACCCACGTCTTGTCCCAAAATTCGCTCTGCAGATGTCCGCTTGCTCCGTCACCGCACATGCCATAATATGAACCTCAGTATCCTCAGACACTAACCTGCACCTCTAGGCGACATCCCGACCATCCAAGAAATCTCCCCCACTACCAAGTGCTCCTCCGCAAGATCCTCTCACCCCTCCTCTGGGATGAATCCTTCATCTTCTGTTTTTTCATCCTCTTGTCAGCCCGCACAGTCGCCATCTCATTCCTTCGCGATGCGAACTCGGCAACTTATGCACGTTCCTTGATCGCCCGCCCCATCCGCATGGGCATCCCTCTGGCCATCGGCCTCGCCATCTCGTGCATCATCTTCAGCACAATCAACACTCAATACCTCGAAGACTTTGCCATTCTCAATGGCAACCCATACCTCAGAGCGCCAGAGAAGCCAGCTTCTGCACTGGCTTGCTTCAACAGTATCTGGGACTTGCTGTGGGTGACCAAGGACTACTCATTGCAAATGGGAAACTTGGCCTTCCCCTCTTGGACACTGTGGGTGCCTAGTGCCGTGTATTTGCAGAGCTACACCGTCTACATCTTCATGGTCGTCTTGCCTTACAGCAGACCATCTTGGCACGTCACCGGCCTCTTGATGTTTGCATTCGGCTCTTGGTGGTTCAACAGCTGGGGCTGGTACTCAGCCACCGGTCTCTTCCTCGCTGACGTTGCTGTCAATCCTCCTTTGCGTACTGCCATGTTCCGTGGCTATGGCAATGAAAGCGGCAGTGTAAGAATTCCTTACTGGTCTTTGGCTGTTTTGATGCTCGGTATCGGAACCGGACTCAAGTACATGTGGACTGCAGGCTTGGACAACCTGTACTGGAGCGGCGAGTCGCATGCCCATCCCGCTCGCTACCTCGGTGGCAGCAGTTTCGGCTACTTTGACGGCACCCAGCCTTATCCTCGTATGGACAATTGGCTGGTCATTGTTGGTATTCTGCTGCTCGTCGAGTTCAGCGAAGTCACCAAGAGCATCCTGTCCAGCAAACCCCTCAAGACTATCGGAAGACGCTCGTTGAGTAAGTTCTTCTCTATCCCCTGCGAACCTGGGCATTCAATGACTGATTACTTGCAGGCTACTTCCTCGTTTCTACTCTTCTCATGTACACCGCTGGCATCAAGCTCTTCCTCTACTGCAACGTCTCGGCCGGACTCGGCTCTGCTGCAGCAAAGGCCGTTGCTTTCTTTGTCGTCTTGCCTGCATCCATCATCTGCGGCGAGCTGTTCCACTGGGCCATTGACAAGCCTGCCGTATGGGCTGGCCATGCAGTCTTTGACTGGACAAGAAAGTAGACTTTCCTCCAACAAAATCTGGAAATCATATGGTGTTGAACATGTAGTAGACGTTTACTTTTTTTTTCTGTTTCCTTTGTTTCTTCTCTTTCTCTTGTTCTACAAAGCTTCGATTTATTGCGCAAAGCAGATTTACATATTTTAAATTTCAAATTGGTTGCAACCTCAGTATCGTCACAACCAAACAAACTCGTGAGCCCAACATGTATTTTCTGTTTCGTTCAAGAGGCTCGAGTCGTGGGGCCTGCAAGGGTAGGGGGCTTCCATATTGACGTATCAAGCCAGACTATCTCGGACCGACAGTCGCATGGGTCAACAGACAGGGTCGTAACCGCAGCGATACCTCCAAGGGCAAAGATGGTCATACCATCGAGAACAGGACTACTGTAGCATGTTGAAACATGTATGTGAGATACATGTAAATCACCGAGATAGATGAAGCTCTCTGTGGCAGAATTGGTGCACCATGGCGGTCATACTGTCTCGATTTGTGATTAGGGAGTCGTGAAGCTTGAGACAAATGTCATGATGTAGTGACTATACAATGCACTCACAGAGCAATTGAACATTACCCTACACCAGCCTCAACATTAGCCGCCAAAAGCTGTGTTCATACCGTATCTATCGGCATACTCGGACGACAAAATCTCTATAACTTCACCTATCCTACCATCACATCAACTTTTGCCCTTTGACAGCAACCGGAATCACTCCTCCAGTGGGCAACGCAAACCTCCTATGCCCCACCGCCCCCAAAAGAGCAGCAATGGTCCCCGAATGCGCCGTCAATGACAAAAACACTCTTCCGTTACTCTGTTCCTCCCAAATCTGCTCTAGACACACGTGTTCGCGGAGAACATGTTCAGCGGGTGTCTCGCGATGAGCAGGCGTCCACGAAACATCTGTTTCTGGCAAGCCTTGCTCCAAAATGTAGGTTGGAAAGTCTTTGCGGATTATTGAGGAGGGACCGCGGCGGTCGCAGGTGTGTACGCCGTTGGTTTCGCGGAGGAGTTCTTTGACGATGGGCTTGAAGGATTTATCTTCTGGCAAAGACAGGGAATGGAAAGAGAGCCAGGAGGTCTGGAGGCAGCGATAGAAGGGGGATGTGTAGTAAGTCTCTGGGGCAGGGACTTTTTGTTGCGAGAGAGCGGTCGTCCAGAAAGCGTTTACGTCGAGGGCTTGTTGTTCGCCAATGGGTGTCAAGTGTGCGTCTGCCCAGTGAGCGTATTCATCGCCTTCTTGTTTGGCCCAGTAGTCCTATTTTTGCCGTCTATCAGTGCCAATTCCATCTGACAAGAAGTCTGGTAACAACTCGAGACTCTGAGAAGAGGCATAAACACTTACATCCCAGAGTTTTGTGCCATATCTGCTTTCGGCGACATTGTGGAATCCTTGTCCGTGTCTGCCCAAGTACAAGACTTTGTACTCGACACCTTCTTCGGCGTGGGCATTCAAGTCACGGATATAGTGTTCGAATCTCTGCCATTGTGTTTTGGTTGCCGCGTCTTCGAGAGTGGCATCTGAAGGATACTCCCGCTGGATAAGACCAAAGTTCTCTTTTGCCTGTGTTGTTATTGTTGTATTAGCTTGAGAAGCGGAGCAAGATATTGCCTGAAAGCATACGTATTCGAAAGTATCGGCATCAGTATCGGGAAGTCCTTGCTTGAATACATTCTCCAGGATACTGAATGCATACTTGGCGTTTGAAGGTGGCAGAGTGATGGAGGCCATGTCTGTTGATGTTGTGTGCAAGTACGTCAGAATGCCCGCGACAGAAACCAAGAAGCTGCAAACGTCCGTCAGAGTATAGTCGACAAGACAAGAAATGGCAGAAAAGAACAAAGACAGAACAAGTAGTCGTCGGAGATGAATTGTCGTCGCGACGGAATAATTCGAGGTCGCTGGGCAAGCCACTCGAGATGTGGTTGTTCCGCTCCGACGCCGCAACGTGGAGGGATGAGTTGAAGGGAAATACTGACATGAACAAAGGGTGGAGCCTGAGCTGTACACGAGCGAGTCCCAGGTTGATGTCGGTATGCAGCGACTTCATAGGTGTTTACTGGAAGACTGGAGATGAGGCTTTTGCAGCAGGCTTTGACGGACGAGCCAGGATAAAATTCGTCTACACAGCGTCATGTCACGCCGAGCCTTCACGATTCGAGATGTTTCAACACAAGACATGCAAATAATTTGATGTAGACATTTCATTCTTCTCATCTTCTTCTCATTCCTCTTCTTCTCTTGACACTTTTGGTTGTATATCATCACAGAAAAGAGTCCTTTTCAAACGACGCCCTGAACGCCATGCCATGCCGTGGTTCACAAAGAGAAATTAGGCGTGTTACAGCCTCAACTCGCGCTCAACCTCAAACTTGAAATCAAAGTAGGGCTGGTCAAAGTGGTGGACACGGACGTAACCATCCTCACCTCCAGAGGCGTAGACGGTACCGAGGGGCGAGACGGCGACGTAGTTGAGGGGACCAAAGTGACCTCTGACACGGCCAATCTCCTCTTCGAAGATCTTGTGGTAGAAACGGGCTTCGAACTTTCCTTGGCGGGCGCTGGTGGTGGTGACGTCCATGGCGGCTTGACCACCTCCGACGATAACGTAGTCCTTGACGGGTGTGATGGCGGCAGAGTTAAGGGGCGTGTCGGCGACGTATGTCTTCATGACCTCGAGCGTCTTGGCGTCCATGANGCTGTCTTGTATTAGCAGTTGTACGGGAGAGCGAGAGAGTGTTCTCAAGAAAGAAGGTAGAGTGAAGAAGAAGGAAAGTCGTACCTTGGCAGTCTTGTCCTTGGAGGCAGTCACAAAGTAGGTGCGGTCGGCGGACCACTGAAGATCGGTGACCATCATGCCGTCCTCGTGGGGATAGGCGCGCTCGTACTCTTCGCCAGTCTTTGCGTCCCACTGGGTGACGGAGCCGTCCTCGTGGCCCGAGATGATGTATCTGGAGCAGGCCGAGAAACCGGCGACTGTGACCTTGGGAATGTCGTCGACGACGATGCGCAGCGAGTGCTCGTTGGCCTGCTCGCCCTCGGGGTCCTGGTTGATGTCGTAGACGAGGATTGTGCTGAGCTGGCCCTGGCGCTTCTCGGTGACACCCAGCAGCTGCGTGCCGTCCTCGTTGAACTCGACGCGCTTGATGGCGGTCCCAAACTCCCACGTCTTCAGCAGCTTGCCCGTCTTGACCTCCCAGAGCCTGATGGTGTTGTCGGCGCCGCCGGTTGCGAGTAGGACGGTGCGCGGGTCGACATCGATTGTCCAGAGGGCACCCTGGTGACCCTTGTAGACGCCGAAGCGCTCACCGTTGTGCGACCACCATGCGCATGCGTTGTGATCCTTGGAGACGGAGAAGATGAAGTCGCCCTCCTTGCTGAACCTGCGCCGTGTGTCAGTCGGCATCTGGTCGAAAAAGCTGAGCGGGTGCGCACTTGACTTGGGTCAGAGCTCTCTCCTGCGACGGGGGTCAGTTTCTGCAGCGAGCGAGCGTAGGAGATAGGTTAAACGTACGTGACCGGAAAGCAGAATAGGTCTCATGTTGGCGGTGATGTGTGAGGTTCGAGTCGCTGTCGCTGCTGCTGGCGTCTATGAAAATGTGCGTTGCCCGCCATGAGACGCTTGGCCCGTGCGTCCGCGACTGCCTCTTGTCGGAGCGAGTGTGTCGGGATTTCTGTAATTTTCCGCCTCGCTAGCTGTAAACTTGGCCGCGCCTTCCCAGTCAGGCTCTTAATCGACCTCCGCATTCTGATAACCTCTCTACTCGTCCAGCACTCTGACTCACTGGCCTTCCATCTGTTCCTTTTGCAACTCTGCTGGACCAATGGACACGAGCATCATCAGAAGGTGTTTGTCTGGATGATTCACAGAGGCAGACGTGCAAGCTGAGTGGGCTGCCAGCAGAACAGAGTCCAAGGACGTGCCACCACTCTGAGCTCTCCCCAGACTCGTGTGACACACAGTCCACCGAATTCTGCTCATTGTATGTAATTGAAACCAAACTGCCGCTCCTGCCCCACGCCAGGTCCTCCGTCACTCCCTTGTTGACATTGATCTCGTTCTCTCCTGTTGTTGTGCTCTGTATACCATCCTCAAAGAAGAAGGTGGACTGTTCTTGCGCCATGCACGGCCAATTGATCAGCGGTCGGCGTATCGCGCTGCGGGGCCAAAATCTTCGCTCTCTCATATCTTCGACCTCGGTGACTCGTTCCTTCCTCTCTCTTTCCTCCTGGAAGTCTCCTTCATCCATCCAACGCGCTGCATTCAGCACCACACTCCGCCACATGACGGCCCAAAAGATTGATGGCACTGCCATTGCAAAGTCCATCCGCGAGCGCATCAACCAGGAAATCACCGAGAAGAAGGCCGCCAACCCTCGCTACAAGCCCTCGCTCAAGATTGTCCAGGTCGGCGCCCGCTCAGACTCGTCGACCTATGTGCGCATGAAGCTCAAGGCCGCCACCGAGGCCAACATCGAGTGCGACCTCGAAAACTACCCCGAAGACATTAGCGAGTCGGAGCTGCTCTACCACATTGAGCGCTTCAACAACGACCCTTCGATTCACGGCATCCTCGTCCAGCTGCCCGTCCCCAAGCACATTTCCGAGCACGCCGTCACCTCGGCCGTCGCTGACGAGAAGGATGTCGATGGCTTTGGTGTAGCCAACATCGGCGAGCTGGCCAAGCGCGGCGGCAAGCCTCTCTTCACACCCTGCACACCCAAGGGAGTCATGGTGCTGCTCAGCGAGAGCGGCGTCGACATCAAGGGCAAGAACGCCGTCGTCATTGGCCGCAGCGACATTGTCGGCAGCCCTGTCAGCTACCTGCTCAAGAACGCCGATGCCACCGTCACCGTCTGCCACAGCAAGACCAAGGATCTGCCCGGCTACGTCAAGCAGGCCGACATTGTCGTTGCCGCCATTGGCGCTCCTGGCTTCGTCAAGGGCGAGTGGCTCAAGGAGGGCGCCGTCGTCATTGACGTCGGTACCAACTACATCCCCGACGACACCAAGAAGTCGGGCCAGCGTCTGGTCGGTGACGTCGACTACGAGTCTGCCGTCGAGGTCGCTTCGCAGATCACTCCCGTGCCTGGCGGTGTCGGACCCATGACTGTGGCCATGCTCCTCCGCAACGTTGTCGACTCTGCTGACAGCTACTTTGACCGCCAAAAGTCTCGCAAGATCACACCGCTCCACCTCAAGCTCGAACAGCCCGTCCCTGCCGACTGGGAAGTCTCGCGCAAGCAGCACCCCAAGCTCATCACAAAACTTGCCGCCGAAATCGGTCTCTCCGCCCACGAACTCGAGCCCCACGGCGCATACAAGGCCAAGGTCGGACTCGACGTCCTCAAGCGCCTCGAACACCGCAAGAACGGCCGCTACGTGCTGGTCGCCGGCATCACGCCCACTCCTCTCGGTGAGGGCAAGTCGACAACTACCATTGGTCTTGTCCAGGCTCTCGCCGGCCAGCTCGGTCGCATCGCCTTTGCCAACGTCCGCCAGCCCAGCCAAGGTCCCACTTTCGGCATCAAGGGTGGTGCCGCTGGTGGTGGCTACAGTCAGGTCATTCCCATGGACGAGTTCAACCTGCACTTGACTGGCGACATCCACGCCATCACCGCCGCCAACAACCTGCTCGCCGCTGCCATCGAGACTCGCATCTTCCACGAGAACACACAAAAGGACGGCCCTCTATACAAGCGTCTCGTGCCTACGCAAAAGGGCAAGCGCGAGTTCAAGCCCATCATGTTCCGCCGTCTCAAGAAGCTCGGCATTGAAAAGACCAACCCCGACGAATTGACCGAGGACGAGATCCGCCGCTTCGCCCGTCTGGACATCGACCCCGACACCATCACCTGGCGCCGCGTGCTCGACGTCAACGACAGACATCTCCGCGGCATCACCGTCGGCCAGGCTCCTACAGAGAAGGGCCAGACCCGCCAGACCGGCTTCGACATCTCAGTCGCCAGCGAGTGTATGGCCGTGCTTGCCCTCAGCAATTCGCTTTCCGACATGCGTGAGAGACTTGGTCGTATGGTCGTTGCCAGCTCCCGTGCCGGTGAGCCCGTCACTTGCGACGACATCGGTGTTGGTGGTGCCTTGACCGCCCTCATGAGAGACGCCATCAAGCCCAACCTCATGCAGACCCTTGAGGGCACTCCCGTCTTTGTCCACGCTGGTCCCTTCGCCAACATCTCTATTGGTGCTTCCTCGGTCCTCGCAGACAAGCTCGCCCTCAAGCTGGCTGGTACCGAGCCCGATGAGGACTACACCTCAAGAACTGGTTTCGTCGTCACCGAGGCCGGTTTCGACTTCACCATGGGTGGTGAGCGCTTCATGAACATCAAGTGCCGCTCCTCGGAGCTCAAGCCTGATGTCGTCGTCATTGTCGCCACTGTTCGTGCGCTCAAGACTCACGGTGGTGGCCCCGCCATCACTCCCGGTGCCCAGCTTCCCGAAGTTTACCGCACCGAGAACGTTGACATTCTCCGCAAGGGTTGTGTCAACCTGAAGAAGCACATTGAGAACGCCCGTCAATACGGCGTCAAGGTCGTTGTTGCCATCAACAAGTTCGAGACTGACACCGAAAAGGAGGTCCAAGTCATCCGCGAGGAGGCTCTTGCTGCTGGTGCCGAGGACGCCATCCCTGCAAACCACTGGGCTGAGNNGGGTGGCAAGGGCGCTGTTGAACTCGCCCAGGGTGTCATTTCCGCCTGCGAGAAGGCCGAGTCCAACGACTTCAAGCTGCTGTACGATCTTGAGGACTCTGTCCAGGAGCGTATCGAGAAGATTGCCAAGAACATGTACGGAGCTTCAGGCGTCGAGTTCAGCGAGACTGCCCAGAAGAAGGTCGATGCCTACACTCGCCAGGGCTTTGGCAACCTGCCCATCTGTATCGCAAAGACACAATACTCGCTCTCGCACGACCCAGATCTCAAGGGTGCTCCTTCGGGCTTCGTCGTCCCTATCAGAGACGTTCGCATGGCTGCCGGTGCTGGGTACCTGTAAGTTTGAGTCCATTCACCATTCTTCACGTCTGTTTGCTAACTGCTCGTCTCAGGNTATGCACTTGCTGCCGACATCCAGACAATCCCCGGTCTCCCCACCGCTCCCGGCTACCTCAACGTTGACGTTGATGCCGAGACTGGCGAGATCGATGGACTCTTCTAAGTCGTTTTCCTCAACATACAACGACCGCGTCTTGTACAACTATGGGTGGTGGGATCTTTTCAACATAAAAATGACTTCAACAGCGTCGGTGTTCCGGGATACTATTTTAACAATTTTCAAGGGGATCAATGTTTGCAACGAAACAACACGAATGAAACGGATACAATGCGTCAACTTAACTTTGACGTCGGTGGGAGCAAGATGGAAGAATTAGAATTTTAGATATATGAAGGGTATCCGCATGGATCGTATGAGACCAGTTTCTCCCTCTTCCTTCTTCCTTACCTCCTCGTTCTGATGAACGTGGACATACACCATGTCGCTGTAGGTAGAATGGAATAATCTACCTAGACATGCTTGGCAACTGACAAAAGAGGGCAACCTACGCTGAAGAATCTTGAGTATATATCGGATGGAGGGCTGATCATTCAACTGCCAAGGCGGTCCGGTTCGGCTGCTACAGGACACCCGGAAGGGCACCTCTTGTCCAACAACTGACGGCTAAACACTATATCCAAGATGTCCAAAACAACAGAGCCACCCTTCGCCAAGTCTTTGCGCGACGTGGGTGCTTCAGTCAACAAGTCCATGGGCCGCGAATTGGTCCCGTCTGGCAAGCTGTACATCTGCGCCTCGATGGACAATGCGACCGACGAGGACAATGCACTCCTGCGCGACGAGTACAAAGTCAGGACCATCGTCGGCACGCATCAAAGTCTTGATGTCGGTGCCAATACTACCAAGATTGGTGGCTCTGGCAACGTGGTCGCCAGTAAATTTCTCGGTTACACGCGCTGCCGTATCAATCTGCGATCCGGGGAGTATGTCAAGAACATCAGGGCGAGATTGTCCATGTGGNNGATGTGACGTGCGTACATTTCTATCGCCGGTTGAGGGGTTCTGTGAGCCGAATTATCTGATTCAACTTGCTGGCACAGGAAAATCTTCTTCCATCTCTTCACAGCAGACATGCACAATTCCACCGTGACAGAGCCTGTTACAGACGCCATGTGGGCATCTGGATCCACTGGAGAAAGTCTCGAAGTGCTGGATGCAGCCAAAACACAAATCTGCGAGCTCTTCAGCGGCGTGCTGTGTCATGCCTCTTCATATCCTGTGTTGATATGCGGCAGCCACTGGATGAGAGAGCAGAACTTGCTGGCCGTCTTGATACTCTTACTCCTGCAAGTCCCCGTCGAGTGCATCTCGGCCGACTATGCCTTGTCGGTGCAGGATGTGCTGGCTGACTCGCGTGGCTCCAAAAGCAAGGCTGAGACTCAATTTATCAAGGACATGGTTGGTAGCAGGACACAGTGGGTCAATGCCATAAAAGAGCATTTGGATAATACCTACAGTGGTGTAGAAGCATATTTGATGAAGGGAGGCTTGACGTCCTTTGAGATCGGCGTGTTACGGGAGACAATCCAGGCGAGCTCGAAATTGGGACAAGATGGTGAGACTTGATGCAGGTGATATGGTAAATAGCATTCGTTGCGGCCTTTTGCTCAGATGTGCATCTCACATCCTGATTTCTGTTTGCGCGCCTCAGACACTCGTTTCTTGACTTATATCGGCATTAGGTAGCAGGTAGTCTTGCAAGTCTTGTTGGGTCGTGTCGTCTGGTGAATATCACCGTCTTCTTCCACAGTATCATCCCTCTGGGAATGATTATATATCTTTCGTTGTGCGTAGAGCATCAGTTCAAATTTTGACGTGGATGGGAGTGGATGGAAGATGAGTATTATAGATTTATGAAGGGTATTCATCCGCATGACTCGTAGAAGACTAGTTCCTCCCTGTTCATTCTTGCTCATGGCTAGTCTGCTTGAACGTGGACATGCATCTTGTTGCTGCAGGCAGAAGCCATGATCTACTTGAGTGTTGTGTAAGGTCATCTTTATTGATACATATCGGAGTGCAAGACTAAGTATAGTCTAAAGTCCTCTTTTGCCGATCCATCGAGAAAGGTGATATAAGCATTACTAGTGTGTATCTTCTGTTGTTCAAGCATCATTGATCTTCTGGCCTCTCGGATCAACTCACCTCGGCAGGTATGCAAGCCCATGATGAGCAAAAGAGCAAGCGGGCTTTGACTGTCTACGCAGACAACGCTGTTCGTTGCCTTGATCTTGCTTTCCAACCATGTCGAGTCCACTGCAATCATGTCGATAGCCAACTTTGGAATACATCGAGCACATAGTCTCTGGTCAGCGTAAGACAAGCTGTTGAACGTGCTGTCTCGTACCATCCATCATGCTCAGTCACAAAGACAAAACTTCCCAAATCTACAAATATCAAGGGCGAAAGCTCACCAGCAAGAGCCGATGGTTCTCGTCTCAGACACTGGTTTTTTCTTGTTGCGTTCTTCTAGGAAGAAGAAGAAGAAGTATTGGATACCAATGTAGCAAAGGAAGATATACCATGGTGACCGGCGACGGCCAAAGCTGCGTGACAGCTCGAGGCAGCTGGAAGAAAACTCTATCGACCCATAGCATGCAAGTGATCAGACTAATGACCACGAAGCTTAAAAGGACACAAGATTGTGGTGTAATCGGTGTCTTACTGGAAATCGTATCGTGGCAGACTCGTATCGTGGCAGACTCGTGTTGTGGTGGGGTTGGAGTGAGGGGATTCCAACTGGACGACTTTCTGGCTTCGCATACTGACCGGAATCGGTAGGAGAAGATGGCCAGGTTCATTGCGTGTGAGTGCTGTATGTTGGAAGGTCGGACAGCTGCAAAATAAGGATTTATGGAACGACGACAAGGTGCAACTGAGCTTTACTGTATCGGCGGCACAGTTTCAAGCCTCCAACCAGTATGTCGAATCTCAAGATGTTGCATATGATCAGACCCGAGCAGATGATTCTGTAAGGGGAGGAAGAGGTAATGATCAGAAGGATAGACTTCCATGGAGTCAAGACTTCGGCTCTCGGCACTAACTACTTGATTCTTCCGGACAACACAAGCTCATGAATCAATACTGACGATCGTGAGCATGAGATCCCCAGTGACAAGATCATCAGGTAGGGGACATACGCGTTGCTTTGTTGTTGGCTGCGGTCTGATTTATTGGTTCCTCAAGAACTCTAGATGCGAGACTCCATTCGTCCAGAAACTCTTCTCATGTAGAAGAAACAGTGGACTGGCATTGCGCAACCCAGAATCAAGTTTTGATTGTGGTCTCGAGTGTTGCGGTGATCAAGAATGCGGTGGCGTGCGCGTGTCCCGTCGACTGAACAGGCTTCGAGGCACACTGTCTGGGGGACAGCGACAAGCGATAGCGGGAGCATCTTACTCTTGGTACAGCATCCACAGAGAACCCAGTATTGGATGATCTGAACTGCTTTTCAGATTTGACGCACCCATAACGCAAGAAAGGGATCTCTCGGTCTGTTACAAAGGTAAAGTAGAGCGAGCCTGATGATCGTATTGGTGTCAGTTGCAGATCGTCCACGAGTCTGAAATGCACGCCCTGAAGATCCCATTCGACAAGACCTAGTGTGTTCAAGATCCATTGAGAGTTAACTCGTTGACCAGAGGCGATCTGGGCACACCCTAGCTTTCCACGAGCTCATGGGATCACATGGGTAGTGACCCCTCAGACGCGCAAGCCGCTCTTGAACATCGACCTCCAGTTCTTTCATCGTTATCTGCTCCGAGGGGCTGAGCTCTGACAACATTGAGCCTGGTGGCGGGGCAAGATTTACCTGCACAGCACTCACTTGACGCTGTATCAGGTAGCCGCATATTTGTGCTACCATAGCTGTCCGCATCTCGCCGAGTGGGAGGGCCGTTTGATGTGCGTCGGGCGTGTTCAAAGAGGCGCGCTGCTTGTTTACTGCATGTTGTATAGCCAGTATGGCGGCAAGATATGTGTTGAGGAGCAACATGTGGTTGGCCATGATCATGTGCCGTATTATACTGCTTGACCAGACATTGATTGATGCATGAGATCCATTGCCAGGCAGGATGTTCAAACCGCCATCCTCAGGGCTACTTGATAAAGATTCGGTATTGGGAAGTATCGGTAGCGAGCCCTCCGATGGCAGTGGAGGAAAAACCGTTTGCGAGGCGGTTTCGTTCAGAGTATGCAGTGTATCAAGCAGGTCTTGAGAAGCCGAGAATACATTCTCGAGAAGAGCGCAGCCATCCTGTGCAGCTGCAGGCATATTCTGGTCCTGCTCGAAAGCACCGGCAGAAGAATCTACCATGTTCGAAGAAGCACGCACAAGCCATCATGTCAGCTTCTGGAAAGCGACATCATCTGCGAAAGGACCTTTCGTGAGGATCGCAGTGTCTTGCTGATCCAGCACATTTGGCGAGTTGGCAATGCTGATGACTGCGCTGTACAAACTATAGATGCGTTGGCTTAGTTTAGAAAGACCAGCCATCGGATTCGCTGGCTCGAGGATCTTCTTTGTGGTGTCCTGATGAAAATCTTCTCGAGTAGTCATATGTTGTATATCGGGCTCAGATGTATCGCTCACAAGGTCAAGCGAAACGGCGTATGACGAGTCAAGGGTGTTGTTGCTCAGACTGCTGTTCTCGATGCCGAGATCCTGAGGGTTGAAGTGCCACTGCTCCGGATTTGTGAAGTCATCGTCAACATAATCCATCCAATCCATGGACATCGGATCGATGCACACATCAAAGTCTGTTCGGTCGGAACGCTGCTTTCCAGTCGCAATTTCCTCCGCAACGATAGCCGGGCGCTGTCTATCCTGCTCAAGGTTGCACTCAGTCTGTATATCACCGATCGATGGCTTATTGGTACATGGGGCATCTTTCTTCTGTCTGCTCGGCCGACCTTTTGGTAAGCTCGAGCTGTATATACATTGCGCTCTCAGCCGAATACAGCGCTCGCATGCACCAGTACTGTCGTCAGACGAACGTTGACATCGTAATTTCTGCTTGTAGCATCGATCGCAGGACTGCCGTTTTGGTGCACTTGAAAGGTTTGACATTTGCTAAGTTTTCTGTATGATCAAGACATGCGCTGGCAGAGCTCAGGTGAATATATACGATAATCAGTCCGACGTCGTCAAAGTAAGGAGGAAGGCTTGAGACTCGGGAGTGTTGCGGAGGATGTGGCAATGGCTTTCTGGCTAATTGGCTTGTAATTACCGCTGATTTACCGGGCTTCTTGGCGTCCTGCGTCGTGATTGGTTGAGATTACAAGATACACATCAAATTAGGTCGGGAATAGTCAGTAGCACATGAGTTGCGTCAATCGCCGTGATGAAACAGAAAATTGGAATAGCCAATACGAACACAAGGGCAATGGATCCTGAGCAGATCGAGATATTAACCACAAAAACAACAGAACCAAGCAAGATGCAGCATATATCGCTACCGCTCGCGACCTGATATTCAAGAGATTCCTCTTGTCAATCATGAAAATGAACTGCTTGGCCTAGGCCCAAGACCGCTCTTCTCATATGCCATATCGATCATCTTCATCTGCGCAATCGAGTCCTGTCCAGTCACCCAATGCTGAGCTTCGCGACCGCGGATCTTGTTCACAAAGGCTTCCAGCTGATACCTGTAGGACATCCAGGAAGTCTCACCAGGGAGGTCGGCAAACTCGCCGCCAGCTTCTTTGAACGTATAGGCCTTACGGGACGCGTTCTCTTCCCATTTCTTGATCACTTTGCCAGTGCGTCTGCTGCGAATCTCGAATTTGCTCTTGATGTCGATGCGATGCCAGAAGAAGCCGTGGATCATGCCGTTCAGAGTCAGGATCTGCGAGCGAAACTTGTCCTGGTCCTCCGGCAGATCCTCATCGAGTACAGTGATCTCCCTAGTAGTCACCGTGACATGGGAAGGCTTGAGAATGGTGCTTCCTTGCAGGGTGCTGCTCGCTTCACCGATTCCACCGTTGGGAAAGCGGAACTTGGCTTGGAAATCATAGTCGCATTTGTCGTGGACTCCATCTGTGTAAGCCTGAGACTCGCAACTCGTACATTCTACAGGATCGGCATCAAAAAGCAGACGGAGCGCTGCATAGTTATAAGTTCCCATGGCCATCATGGTACCACCAGAGATGTTGTAGTTGAAGTGTATGTCGTCTTTAGAGGAGGCCCACCAGGGAATCATGGAGGCTGAAGTGACCTGAACCACATCTGCAGGGTTGACTAGAGACTTGAACAGATTCCAAGATGGGTAGAAGCGGTTGTGGAAAGCTTCGAGTATCACCGGGGCATTTGGTTGAGATAGCTCGGGCATGTTGAAAAGACCCATGGCTTCNNCAGTTGAGTTTGATGTCGAAGGCTTTTCCAAGAGAACATGCTTGCCAGCACGGATTGCACGAACGGCCCATTCGTAGTGGAGTCCATTTGGTAGCGGAATGAGGACGCAATCGATGTTAGGGTCGTCAAGTATGTNCTTTGGGTCGTAAGCTGCCACTCAAAGAATCGTCCACCGAGGACAATACGAACCTTGATATGATTCCTTGACTTCTGGGATACCGTGCGACTTTACGAATGCTTCTGCTTTTAATCGGTCACGCGCTGCGACAGCTTGGACAATCACTTCGGGATGAGATTTGGCGGGGATTATCAACGATAGGGGACTGTTCTCCGTGGTCAACAAGGATGTACTGCATGATCAGAAAGAGACTCACGCTATGCTTGCGGCACCCAACACACCAAATCTGAGAGCACTTTCCTGCTTGGGTACCTGCGGTGGGCTGAATGCTGACCACACACGACTGATCATGGCTGCCATTTCGTTCGAGGGTTGTGCTAGTTCCGGTGTTGGATTGAGAAGACTTTTGAAGTGCTGTCGAAGAGAGCAAAAGCGTATAGACAAATATCATCTGGGCGGATGGGCCTGGCCATTTATCCCTGATCGCAAACGCGATTCGGGGCGACCAAACAATTGTGCCATTATGTACCGAAGGGTAAATCACCGACCGACCTACAATGTTGTATGTATTAGAAGGAAAGAGCAAGAGTCGGCATGATCTCGTCGGCGCCTGTGCCATCGGCCACGGACACGTGAAAAAATCACCGAATCCGACTCTTCACAAAATCGCCGAACGGTGGCTTCCTCGACAGGATCCATCACGCTACATCCTCATTCGTATCTATCGAACAATGAGATCCCAGCTTCTCCTGGTTGATATATATGATGCTTTACTTCACACTTACTGAACTCATAAGGGAGGCGCGCCGCATTGCGACGTTTCATTCTAGTTGCGTGTAGCCTGTAGACGCGACAGCGACAAGCGACCGCCTTTACGACGCGTGCTGCTGCTATCACATGCGATTAACTACGATCTATATTTCGATCAAGCAGGTGTCTGAATTCAGGCAACCAGGCAATAGTTCGATTTCGATGATTGCAAGCCACCAACTATCGACGAGGCAGAGCATTGGCTGTCCTTGTGGTAAGTCGATATCATGCGCATGCACCTGAACGAATGGAAAACAACTTTACACACCCGCATGGAAGAGGCGTCTAACCATGCAAACATCACAGCAAATCGTGTATCGCATCGAAGTCCGAGGCCTTATGTGTGAAACAACCGCCCTCGGCTCCACTTTCATGGTGGAAATTCTCTGGGGTGGCTACGACGAAACATCATTAGGTTAACATCTGGAGTCAGCTCATGTCCTACATACACGCTCGATTGACAAACCAAAACGTTTTTCTGAACTTCCGAAGCTTCATAGCACAAGAAACTGCCAGTTGCAAATTGATGCTTGCAATTAGCTTAAGAATGTTTCAGCGATGGCCCGACTGACATGTCTGCCATAGCCACGATTCCGAGCAAAGTGGTCGCTTGGTCGCTGAGCATGACGGCTCAGCAGATGTACAGCAGTACGGCACATTCATCCGCGGATAGCAAGAATTTCACTACAAGAAGTCGCCAACCTCTTGTGGAGGTTGCTTGTGAAGAGGCAAACTGGTTGAGCCCTACTTCGATCAACATTACCGTGCTCGATTACGAATACACTCTACAGTCCGGATCTTTGCACCACCTCAGTGGCTCAGATTCTTTTGGATGGGCGTTTGTTGATCGAAATGATTCATCATCCAAGAATAGCACGGCATCTGAATCATCACTCTGGATCGTCGTCAGTCACCCCCAGGGTCTTGCACCACCTTCAGAGCGGCCCCTTGAGGCTTGTGCGATATACGCAAAGTATGCTCACGTTCGAAACACGATCTCGTTAGACGAAGATACATGGTTGTCCGGCAACGCGCTCGTCGTTAGTCAAACAGATGTCGACGAGGTCCAAACCGATGTATTGGATACCATCATGCTTCCATCGTCATGGGTGAACAAAACTTTACCACCCTTGAGTACATTACTCAGTAATGGTCTCGGTGATTTTAACTTGGCCACGTTTTTCGCGAAATCGTTGGCTATATCGATGACCCAATGGCCGCAACAGCTGTTTCCGTCTCCAGACGATAGTCCAGCATACTATGGCCTGGATCCCGATACCGGTATACTTGTGGGAAATCAAGATGATGACAACGCCATGGACCCAGATTACTCGCTTCGATGGTTTGGGCATTCGGCAAAGGAACATGTTCTATATCCTGGCTCTGAGGTCGCAGAGAAACAGGGCAAGTACAGATTGCGGATGAACGTCAGCTCTTTTGGTTATGGGTACAAAATCGACCAACCAACCAAGTTCATCGCAATATCTGTACTCGCCGCGTACTGCCTCTACATCATGACTTTCATCATCCTCTCGCTTACTTGCTATCGAATTCATTCGAATGCTTGGGACTCCATCAGCGAGCTCACTACTTTGGCGATCATGTCAAGACCAGACGACAAGTTGCGGAATACTAGCGCGGGCATCGAGACCATGGCTTTATTTAGATTGCCTATCAACATCCGAGCCATCGACAACACCCACCTGGAGATCATCTTCGGGGACGAAGACGGCAGTCCAAGTTCTGGGAAAGTGGCGAAAGGTGTTGAATATGGATAACGTCTTAGCAATCTATACGAAGGGTTCGGTGGGTGCGCGAGAGCGATAGCTGAGAGTCAGGTCCATTTCTGCTGTACGAATTGAATTTCATGTCGCGACTGACTCTCTTAGCAAAGCCCGATGTGTCTCATATGCTGCCCTTCGGCTAGCCAGTCATCGAGTATCGTAACCTTACCACTGTTCGCGAGGCCGAGATTCGTCCTTATCCTTGACCACGTCCATCCTTCTGTGTATGCCAGGTCAAGTTGCTTTTGCGCCTTTTCCATCCACTCGAGCTTCTCAACTTCAAACAAGTCACCGTCAAAATCTTTCTCTGCAGTTTCCAGGTCTTTGGCAGTATTGTTCCACCCAGCAGCCAGATACAAATTCCTCAAGCTGAACTTGATGAAACGTGACTGATAGTGTTCCAAAACATCTACATTACCTTTCATAGCCTCCAGGTCATCTTCACCGGGCTCCGTGATAAGCTCATTGTCAAAAGGCACCGATTCAAGCTTGATCANCTTCTCAATCCACAGACCCAACATTTGCTCCACCGGTTTCGCATCATCCATCTCGAAAGGATTCTCGATCTCTGCAATTTCGAAGTCGACATGTTTTCCCCAAGCTTCCCACGGCAGCAGTTTTTCTGAAACAGTATCGTAGATCAAGGATGTGCCGTGGATATTCGGATTGCTGAGCACAAAAGCATTTTTGGAGATTTCTGGTACATCCTGGAATGTGGGTCGTCGTGACCAGTCTAGGTCGCCATCGTCGTAGCAGACGATTTGAGATCCATCGGGGAGAATTGGCAGAGTGTTGAGGCCAGGGTTTAGTTGTGGTAGTCGTTGCAAGAGAGCTATGACGTCGGAGGAGAGACCGGCTTCGGTGGCAGCGTCGAGATTTACGGTGGTTGGTGGGGAGCAGATGTCGTCCGAAGAGATATAGTGGAGAGCGGCGAAGGTTTCATACAAGAGGGTCAGGTGTGTAATGAGAGACTCGTGAGACATGTCAAAGTTCAATTCGATGTCGCTGTCGCAAGTATTTACAAGCCGGTCAGCAAGACTGAGGCGCGAGATCTCAGCGAAGCTTCGGACGTCAACAAACAACAAAAAGCTTCCGAAACAGCCATGGACGTCAGCAAAGCTCAGGAGATTTTTCCCTTCAAGAGCACATTGCTATAGGCTTTTTGAAATAAAAGATCCGATCTGGAAGTTTGTTCGCATCTGTAGACTGTATCATCGAGAATTGTGCTAATAATAGGTTGTTAATGCTAGTGAGGACAACGACCCTGTCGAAGCAATGGCCCAGATCTTTTCACGCTCGCCCTACTGGTGGGTCGCTCATCAATATTCCACGACATGCGAAGGCACATATCACAAAACCATAGCCATTTCTCTGTTTGACATTGCAGTGCGCTATTGATCACCTTGAGTCTTCAACCGACGACCATGACCCGGGAATGAGAGTCGACCTTATTCTCGGCTGGCGCGATGAGACGTTCAGAGAACATCAAACTTCCTAAGGCGGACTCCGATCAGCAGCGGATTGACATGTTCGGTTGACGGCAGATACACGCTGTTCCATTGTATATCACCAGTGCCGAAAGAAAAGAGACAGCGATAACATCGATTCCATGTGTGCTGACGACGCGACGACGTGGCTTAAACCACAAGCTTCGCGGTTTCCCTCAACGTTTTCCGCAACTTTTCCACAAGTCTATATTTTTTTGCCGTTATCTCTCGCAAGCCGCGTACACATTGATGATGAATTGTCGCAAAGGTGCCAAACTGAATCAATCATGATCAATCGGGCACGTTGAGGCTTTTTCATGGTGGTGGCTTGTTCTGGTGAGAGGCACGGTAGGAGTCAATATATTCTCATGGATGTCTGCCTGGCTGGCTAATCAGACCTATCTGCTTCGCTCTCGTTTCGTCCCTGGGAAGGAGCGACACTCAACCAACATATCGCCACTTTTGTAGCTTTCGGCGTCGCAATCTTCGCATCACAACCAACATCACGTCAATAAACATCACAATCATCATCGCCTCAATCAACATCAGCTACTTGAGCTATACTATTACGCCAAACACCACTAATCCACAACATCATCAACCATGTCGAAACTTAACCCTCTCCACTGGTCACGGAAATGGCAAATTATTGGCGGTCTCGGAGCCACAGCAGTCATTGTCGCCGTGATAGTGGGAGCTGTCGTAGGCACAGAAGACTCAGGCTCCAGCTCATATCCCGATTACAGCTCGTTGAACTACACAATTTCTGAGCGCATGAATGGAACGACATTCTTCGACCACTTCGACTACTACGACCAAGCTGATCCGAGTAGCGGCTCGGTCGTTTATCTTTCTCAAGAGTCGGCGGCCTACAGTAATCTTACATATGCTGGAGCGTCGTCGGCCATCCTCAGAGTGGACAGTACAAACTCGGGTACTACAGACAGAAACTCTGTGCGCATCACGTCCAAGAATCAATGGGATACTGGACTTTTTGTGTTCGATGTCATCCATTCCCCATATGGCTGCGGTACATGGCCTGCTGTGTGGCTGTCCGACCCCAACAACTGGCCTGAACATGGAGAGATTGATGTTATCGAGGCTGTTGAGCAAGGAAACAAGGGAAATCAGATGACACTGCACACCTCCAAGGGCTGCACAATGAAGACGAAGCGTGAAGAGACTGGCACAGTGTCTGGCACGAATTGCTGGAACTCGACAAACGAGAATGAAGGATGCGGCGTTTTTGGCCCCAAGAGCAGTTACGGAGCAGCCTTAAATGAGGCAGGTGGTGCAGTGAGTTGTTCTCTGGTATCATGTTTGCCTCCGGGTACTAACATCTCGAACAGNCTTTTTGCTATGGAACTTCGCGATGCAGGTATTCGCATGTGGACTTTCAGCCGCTCAAATCCACCCTCAGACCTTCTCTCTACCAATGATTCCTCCCCTGATCCATCACAATGGGGAACTCCTGTCGCCGACTTCCCCAGCACTGATTGTGAAATCTCTTCTCATTTCAAAAATCAGTCCATCATCGCAAACATCGACTTATGTGGTAGTTGGGCAGGCGCAACCAGTGTGTATTCGAAAGAATACGGCTGTCCGGGCACTTGTGCAGATCTTGTCAAGAACAACGCCACTGCGTTTGAGAATGCGTATTGGGAGTTTGGAAGCTTCAGAGTATGGACGGCTTCATAGAGATGATCTTACTGATCAAGCACAAGATAACTTATTGTCAAATGGAAACCGCACGCATCAAGTCTGCCTAGTCAACAGCTCCGATGCAGTCCCTTGTGCTGCAGCCAATTCAGTGTCCGAAGGCATGTCCACAATGAGGAGGTACAAAACATCCTGCGTCGCTGTAAGTAGATGATCGGGGCAGTGAACCAGAGTGAGACGAACCTTCTTCATGACCTTCTGGACAAGTCCCAATGGGCCTGCATCGCTTCCACCTCGCCCGCCGCGTACTGCTCCCAACCCACGCTGCATTCTTCTATCGGAGTCTGAGTGTTCAAACCTGGCTGTTTCAGTCTCGGTAGATCCACCAAACCCTCCTCCAAGCACACCTCGGTCGCCCAGACCTCGACCAATTATGCCCCTATGACCTCGGTCAAAACGTGTACCACCCATGTTCGTGCGACTACCTCCGTGTTCTCCGCGACCGCCCAATACGTTGGTATGCTCAGGCATCTGAATTGCTCCGCCCGAAAGTAGAGCAATCAAAGAACCGCTATTAGCTGGATGACTTGGGTCCGCGAAGCGAGAAGCGAACTCTGGCTTTGGGCCTGCAGCTAGAGCACTATCCGGATTCTCCGTGGNCCTGCATGAGACTGTCAGTCCTTGAGACGGTATAAATGAAGACTAATGTCGCCAACTCACAAATTTTGCTTGCGCTCTTCTGTCCATGTAATCTTCCACAAACCGCCTCTTCTTTTGCAGAGATGATTTTTGGTCTGNCGCTGCCTCGCCTGGAGTTGTGGCTAGGGCATCGAGACCTGGATAGGTCAAAGGTGCAATCTCAGGCCATTGGAGCTCTCCAAAAGTCTTTCCATTGGATTTGTGGAGAGACGTCAAACGTCCGTTCTGTTTGCTCATGACCTTTGCAGCCATATCCTCGAAACTGACATCAGTCTTTGCATCATCAGTATCAGGATTCCAAGTCAAGACCAAACAAAACAATCCCTTGGGCATAAAGAAATCTTTGTTGACTTTATCCAAAAACCTGTTTGTTTTGTAGCGACCTTGAATTTCCATTGCTGCTGTTGTGGCTGCAGTGATGGCGATGGATACGAGGATGGACGTTACGGTTGGTAACCAGATTGTTCCTATGGAAGCGAGATTCAGGGCTGCTATCCATTTTGTTGCTTGAGTTGACTTGTTGAAGGTTTCGAGAAAGTCGAGGAAGGTAGATTGGGAGATGTTGCGGGTGGAGAGGATGGGTGGGTAGGCTTTTACTATGCCGCGGCTGCGGTCTTTGGGTCGGCGTTGGGGAATTATGATGGGGAATGGGAGTCTTTGTCGCGTAAGTGACTGTTCAGCGGTGGGCGAGGATGATGGTAATCGTGATATGAATGCGTCGGCAAGAGTGCTTGGGTCTGTTGGTTCATCTAGTTGGGTTTTCGGTTCGCCGATGAGGTCGTCCTGGGCTTCGTCGAGCTCCCATGCCTCTTCTTCAAGGTCGTGGGTCGATACTCCATGGTCTGGCAAGTACTCGAGTTGTCGTACATCCTTTTTCACTTTCGACTGCGTCTTGTTTGCTTTGCGGGCTTTGTAGGCTTCTGACACGAAACCAATGCCACCGCCGACATTGTGAACGATATTTGTGATAATTTGAGCCATGCTGCGATAGACAGAAGATGGTAGCAGACAAGTGTAATAGTATTAGCAAGGAATTCAATTCGACAGTCCTTCCTCTTATGTACTCGCAGATAGTTGTGAAACTCGGCCTGAGATCATCCTGTACGCCTTATTGCTTGTCCGGAATGTCCATGGAGTTGCCGAATGTGGCTGAGTTGATCCCACAGCTCCTTCGCTTGACTTCTTTCGGAGTATGGTCCATATGTCAGGCCTTTCCACAATACCTCTCCATATTCTTGGTTGGACAGACATGAGTTTGTTCATGTACAAGCTCGGATTCGGTTTCGCTCTCGTGAAGTTGCTGCGTGCAGGACGTGGCTCAGTGCTTGCAGGACAGAGGGTCGACTCCAAGTAGCGCCGGCCTCGTGCTGGATAGGATGCTGACACTACCTGACAGGATGGAAATCAAGCTTTTGTAAGTCCAGCGACGAGAAGAAATCTCGTTTTCGGCTTCGCTCCTGTCAGGCTACCGCGCTCAGGGTGTGGCTCGGTACCTGCAGGCTGAGGCTGTGGTCTCGGTTTCGGTTTCGGTTTCGGGTTCGCCAAGTGCCTGATGACTACTTCCCCTGCACTTCCTTTGTAAACAATGGCAAGGTTCTATCGAAGTAAGCCTCTGAATGCAGACCAGTGCTGTAAGGCGTTCATTCCAAAGTGGCTGTGGAGTTGTCACAAAATCACGCGTGGTACAGGGAAGGCGTTTGGTACAAAGGGTGTAATCGCTCGCTAACATCAGATTCTGCTCTATGTCGACCTACTCTCCACAGTTTCTGTGCTCTTGGCTTTGCGAAACAGTCAATTAGGCAAGTCGAATCGCATCAGTATGATACGGCAGCTTGTAGGTATCGTAGCGGCTGACCCTTACCCTTCGTCAAATCCTGGTTCTTGCGTCCTTCGCGGCGACGGAAAAGCATGCCGGCCGCAAATCTGTTTATATATCGACATGGATTCTATCATGCCAAGGCAAGGAGTCACTCATGTAATCTAGACGACACGAAAAGGGCTATGAAGCCGAAATTAGGTATTCTGTACTCTTTCCGTCACAAGTTTTGGCCTACTGGGAGATTTGTTTTGTCCAAAAGGCTCGCCGACAAGTCTTACACCAACTCCCGTTCCTCCTAGGCAACCATTTCCAACTCTTTCCAAGTGTTCGATCAATAAAGGACCAGAAACACGTGTCTTGAATCCCGAGATCACTATGCGCAGCACTACAGGGTATAGGATTGCTATCTATGCACGCAAATTCACCGATCTTGTCATGATGGGACCGGGCTTTGAAGGATCGCTAACCGCTGTTACGGTGGCCGCACCTTTCCTAATCTGTTCTCATGCGCGAGGCCGCTTTTGTCGGGCTTTCTGTTACTCCGATTGACTACGTAGGTTGCCTGTATAACCATTATGTCTCCTATGTCATTCAAGACACACAGCCGTTCAACATTTATTGTGTGCAAACACGTTCCTTTGTCAAAAAAACTACTAACCATTCTTCGCTATGGTTGTTCTCGAAACAATTCGCGCCTCGAACCAGAAGATCGGAGCAACTCTTCCCGGACTTGTCGCTGTGTTCGTCGGTGCAACCAATGGTGTTGGAGAGGCCACTGTACGACAGTTCGCAAAGTATGCATCTGCACCGCGTGTCTACTTGATCGGTCGCTCTCAAGAAGCAGGCACGCGCATAATCAACGAATGCAAAGCTCTAAACCCAAAGGGCGAATTCATCTTCATCAGCAAAGATACCAGCCTCATTCGCAATGTCGACGAGATATGCGCTACGATACGAGAACGCGAGAAATATGTAAATCTGCTATTCCTCACCATCGGAACGTTGCAAACTGGCAAGAGTGAGTACTTTACCAACTGCGAATGTTGCGACAAGCACTGATGTTGTCTCAACCTAGCGACCGCAGAAGGCCTTCATTACCCTGCTGCACTGGCTGTGCATGCAAGAAACCGGTTCATCTCCAACCTACTCCCTCTCATAAACAATGCAACCTCTCTCCGCAGGGTAATCTCCGTCTTCATCGCAACTCTCGAAGGAGAAATTCAGATGGACGACTTTCAAGGCTGGCACATGAAACTCATGGCAAACAGAGATCATGCCGCCTCAATCACAACTCTATCTCTCGAGAGCCATCACAAAGATAACCCGAACGTGTCGTTCGTTCACAATTTTCCTGGCGTGGTTAAATCGGGAATCACTCGTGGGACTTCTGGACCGCTATTTACTGCTTTGAAAGCTGTGATTGGTGTGTTTGGCTCGCTGTTTTATATGCCTGCTGAGGAGGCCGGTGATCGACATGTGTTTCTGGCTACGAGTGCGAGATATTCGGCTAGTCTTGAAGATACCACAGCTGGGGTGCCATTGTCCGTAGCTGGTGGTCTGGCAACTGCTTGTGGCACCGATGGTAAGATAGGCAGTGGTGTATACTCTATCGATGCCAGTGGCGAAAGTGCTGGGCTAAAAGTGGAGCAAGCACTAGCTTCGCTGCGAAGCAGAGGGATGACAGAGAAAGTCATGAACACAATCAACACAGATATCGAGAAGGCGTTGGCGACAGGTCAGAACTGAACAGTCCATTTAAAGTTATACTACTACCACAGATGTCCGCAATGACTTCAGTCCTCTCCCCGATTCCGTTGCTTCGATCTCATGGTACTATAGCAATACAAGATGCGGTCGCAAATCTCTCCTCCTCCGCCGAAACCTCAGTCGAGTCTCGGGTGCTCGTCATCACCTTGAGTTCGGGGAAGATTGAACAAGGAGTTGTGCTGCTACTCAGCCGAATTTAGGACACTCTCGGGCTGCGAAGGAGTACCGAGGCGAAGCGGGAGAGAGAAGGCAGGGTAGCTGGCACGGGCGGTGGGTGCTTCAGGCTCAGGGGCATCGCGAGGAAAGCGGTCGAGATTCACTGTGAGTTTGTGATCCTCACGCTGCTCAGCGGAGAAAATGATGCGGTAGAGCTCCTCCTGGGCACACAGGAGTGTGATCTCCGGGTTATCGTCGTGTGCTATCATCTCATCAGTCTCGGGTCCGCAGACTCAGGGGCTGAACATCAACATACCCAATTCAGCAAAATCGACCAAGCCTTTTCTGATCCTCCCCGTCTGCGCATGGCCGGTACGATAACACTCCATCTGCTCGATCACCTCCAGATCTTCCATTGGGTGTCTCATCAGGCAAGCTACAAGACGCCTCTGAGCTGCGGTGTAGCCCGGGTGGACTCTGCGAGGGTTGCCGCGGTAGATGCGGAAGCAGTAGTTGATGAAAGAGCCCAGGAACCACCAAGGCAGGTTCTCGTGCAGCAGCCATTGTTCGGCCTCGCCGCCGTCGCTGCACCAGAGGATGTGACGGGGCAGGAGGATGGGTTTGGCGCAGTCGGCGGCCACCTTCTGAGTGCGGGTGGAGTCGGAGGAAGGGTCAGAGCGACGTTGGCCAATGGGTTTGTACATTCTCTTGACTGCGTGTTCGCTGGTGGTGTTGAACATGCTGGATGCTGGTTCGATACAGAAAGTTTTTGATGTTGATGTGAATGGTAAGGGATAGCGGCGTTACGTGGTTGTGCGAATCATTACAAACAGTCCTCGACGCATTCTACTTGCTTCAGTGAAGCACGTAATGGTATCAGCAAAGGCTCGAAAAAGGAAGTCAGCACTGCCAAGTCTCGGTATGTGTTGAGCGACAGGCACATAGTAATGCAATCAGGTTCTTCTGCGTCGAGGACTCGGCAAGATCGCTCCTTACCCTTCAACCTCCTCGAAGGGGTATACTGACTCAGAATCAAGGTTTCCTGGTGTGCCTACACTTCTGCATTCCTAGTTTCTCTAATGTCTTTGTACCATTTGCAAGATCCGTGCAGCCCTCAGTCTTGTTGTCCATTTGCCGACCATACCAAGCACCTAAGCATGTAATGGGCAAGTAGTCGATACTCTAGAGGGCGGTATGTAAGATCTTGCAGTTCTCCTGAGCGGCGTGGTCCTGCTGTTATTGATGCCGCCCTCTGGCAAAGTTACTGATGAATCCAAGGCAGACAAGGTTATACAGCCACTTACCGAGTCGACGCCCAATGAGAGTGTCGTACAAACCCTCTGGAGAGGCTTCCAGCACCATATCAAGGATAGTGAGATCATTGCACTGGATATTCGTTGACCACCCGCACGACTGCCAGTATCGAAAGAAGGTTCAGAGTCCTCACCGCTTCCGTCAGAAGCCAAGACAGCGCCAGTAAACGAAATTGGACACACAAAAGAATGCAGAGCAACACAGCTACTTCCCAGGCAAGATGAGCATATGGTTGATAACTACTCAGATATGCAGAACTCCAAAGCTCCGGCTGGAACAATATGGATGTAACTTCTACGGATCAACTCGCAGCCCGGTGGATCCAGGGACTTGATTGGCAGCATCTGTTCGTTCCTCTGCACTCCCCTCTCAACCTCCTTTCGATAATCTCCTTTATCATCTTATCCTGCTCAGACGATCCTGTTTCCGCATCCTCCTACTATGTCTTGTTGCAGACTGTCTTCCCAGTGCTGTGTGTGAAGGTGTCTCTCGGAGACCCCATGACTCCCTCGCGTACTGTTTCGCCGATGCAGGTGATGTCGTCGCCACCCTACTGCACAGCATACGACCGTTGCTAGACTGGGTCACACACACCAGTCGTGTTCTTGGTGGGCTCTTCTCGGACGACTCGATCGACGACGTGGCATGACTCGCTGACATTTCTCGAGCTTGAAGATGTTGACTGGATCTTGCATATCCGCAAGAATGATTCTAGGATAGCTTGGCGTAGCGGCGGAGAAAGTAGTAATCGGGGTAGTGTTGGAAGCCCTGGTGCAGCTCATAGGGAGTTGATGGATGACCCACCACGCCATGTTTCGAGTACTGATGAAATCTGAGTCACTGGAGACCTCGAAAGTATCGATAGGGGAACCCGAGTTCTTTTGATAGAGATAAGAGCGTTTTTCTGAGCCATTGCGACCACCTCGGAAGTCCCGTCGGGGATAAGTCGCATGAACACGGTCGTCGATTGCGATTTTGCCATCTTGGGCAGCTCTTGAGATGTGATCGTCAAAGGGTTCCAAGACAATGACATATCGGGAGGTCAGTGCGAGCCAGTAGTTCTCGCGGATGTCTTCGAGGTCCGATGACCAGAGTTTGGTAAGACCTATTCATCGAAGCCTTCCAGGGGTCAACTCGGCTCGCAATACAAGGAGAGTGCCAAGTCGTTCATCTGGAGAATGGAGAATACGAAGAAGTAAGTGGAGTAGAAGTGGTTCACCTACATGGAAAGAAGATGCCTTTGCTGATTCTGATTGTCTGACCTCTCTTTGCGCCGTTCGTCCGGTGGACTTTTGAGTTTTTGAGACTTTTGTTAGTGTCAGTTGCGAACAGTGCAGAAAGACCCCTCGGAATGGAGTTCTTCGACAAAGTGCGTATTTTCCGCGAATCTGTCTTTATCGAACCAATCGTGTCGCGCGGCCGTAGTCCCCCATACCCTATTGTTGGATTCCATCTAAGTCGAGAGCATGTATTGAAAGCCAGTTGACTTCCATCTATCCCGGGTAAGCGGTATCGTCATTTGGCGTTTCAGGATAAAATGCTTTGATAAATGGCCACACGTCGCGAGGCATCCGGACATGTTCGATATCTTGGCCGTGGATATTGTAAAGCACCTATTGGTCAACGACTAAGAACATGTAATGCCATAGCCGTGTTCGAATCCGGTTCTTCCGATCCTGGGAGGCAAGCCACGAGCTAAAGTGCAAGCGAAGAGTTTCTGCGGATGCGTTTCGAGATCTTGTCTTGTCGTCCATCCATGCTTGACTCGCGAGATTGAAAACGAGACATTAGGCTGCTATGGCATATTCCCTCGTGCAAAAGGAGTGGAGTCAAGGACCTCGAACGACGTCTCCTGAACCATTTTCAAATCCTACTTCTCCTCCTCAACGAACGATTCAGATTCTCTCAACAAAGGTAGTTTGATCATTTTCTCCATCTCGATGACGATGGTAATCTCATACTTGCGGGCTTAGTCCAGCTCGACATTATCAACACATATCGCAACCTGATCAACTCCCTTATTACACCACAGGCCGCAGCAGCAGGAATAGAAAATGTGGTCAAATCGTTCTCTGACCAAGGTAAATCAAGTGGCTATACATACGCGCTCGGGCTCTTAAGACATGGATGGTACATGCTATCATCCCATCATTCCCTCGCCGCACTCGCCAATTTCACCATCGAAACCATACAATTGCCACAAGTTGTAGATCTCATTGACGGTGAGGAATGGCCACCTCTGATCGAGATAAACAGAGCTCTCAAGGATGCTTTGCAGGGAATAGAGGTATACCTACCTATAGGATCTTCTGCACAAAAAACTGCTGGTGGGGCGATTGTCGAGCAGCAATAGGCAAACATCAATACTTTTTGCGCTATGATAGTTCGTCACAGCGTTCCAGCAGAGATTGATATTCTTGCCCAATGCAGACACGAACATTGTTGGTTCACCATCGTCGATGCCCTAGAATCCTCTTCCAAAGCGTTGCCGGACTCGCACCCGAGGAAACATCTAGAACACTTGAAGACTTCTGCTGCTGCAATCTGATTCACGCTCGCTAGAGAGGAACTTTTCGCATTGCAAAAGAACCTCCTAATGTATGGCGACCTGGGAAACTATGGGCGGCCGAGGGCGGGGATCAGCGTATCACGAGTGCAGGGTGGAAGTTTTGGCAGAGGAGATTTGAATTGCTGGCTGGTTTACAGCAGCTGTGTAATCAAGGCTACTGAGGAAGCTAGAAGAGCTGCCAAAGTCATCTCCGCTCTACAGCGGACATCATGTCAAATCGAAAACGCATTTAAGCCGCACAGGGTTGAACAAAGACTGTGGTACGTATGAAGAAAGGAATTAACCTATTGAAGGGAGTGCAAGAGAAACAAAGGATTCAAAGCCAAAGGACCTCCGCCATCATGGCACCAACGAGCCAATGGCTTTGTTCTCCCTTGTCCACTGCCAGATTTTGTTTTCTCCGCAATGGTTCTGCTCTTGGATACCACATGCACTCCCATCATCGCCCGGCTCTTGGAGATAAAGAAAGAAAAAAAGAAAATAGAGCGACTCCTGAGAAAGCTCGAGTTGACGAGTAAGCTCGACGACTGAGCTGAAGTAGAACTGAGTATCGGAAACGTCATGTGAGGATGAGGTCCATACCTGAGAACGAGGACTATCGATAACTGCGCCTCCCTCTTGGCGAGGCATCGAGATAAAAGAGCTTTTGTGATGACTTGCCGGACTTGAGACAAATGAGGTGTGGTTGTGAAAAGGTGCTTGCCGGGTTCGGATAGAAGCCCCTCGCCATGCTCCAAGAGCTTTGAGTCCACGCAAGGTTGCTGAGCTGCTGAACATCAATGTTCAAATGCAGTACGTCGCACTCAGAAACTACCAGCGACGAAGATGATGTTACTGGCCTGCTTCAGGCCTTTGACGTTGTTCTTGGGCTTGGGGCGAGGAGTGGGCTGATCGTTGACAGATGTGACTGAATCAGTACGGATCGCAGCGATGGTTGGAA